TCTACTCTCCAGTAAGAAGTGCTGTAGATGGATCTACTCTCTAGTAAGGATAGCTGTAGATGGATCTACTCTCCAGTAAGAATAGCTGTAGATGGATCTACTCTCTAGCTGTAGATGGATCTACTCTCCAGTAAGAATAGCTGTAGATGGATCTACTCTCCAGTAAGAAGTGCTGTAGATGGATCTACTCTTCAGTAAGAAGTGCTGTAGATGGATCTACTCTCCAGTAAGAATAACTGTAGATGGATCTACTCTCCAGTAAGAATAGCTGTAGATGGATCTACTCTCCAGTAAGAATAGCTGTAGATGGATCTACTCTCCAGTAAGGTTTGCTGTAGATGGATCTAATCTCTAGTAAGGATAGCTGTAGATGGATCTACTCTCCAGTAAGGATAGCTGTAGATGGATCAACTCTCCAGTAAGAAGTGCTGTAGATGGATCTACTCTCCAGTAAGAAGTGCTGTAGATGGATCTACTCTCTAGTTGTAGATGGATCTACTCTCCAGTAAGAAGTGCTGTAGATGGATCTACTCTCCAGTAAGAATAGCTGTAGATGGATCTACTCTCCAGTAAGAATAGATGTAGATGGATCTACTCTCCAGTAAGAAGTGCTGTAGATGGATCTACTCTCTAGTAAGGATAGCTGTAGATGGATCTACTCTCTAGTAAGGATAGCTATAGATGGATCTACTCTCCAGTAAGAAGTGCTGTAGATGGATCTACTGTCCAGTAAGAAGTGCTGTAGATGGATCTACTCTCCAGTAAGAATAGCTGTAGATGGATCTACTCTCCAGTAAGGGATAGCTATAGATGGATCTACTCTCTAGTAAGGATAGCTGTAGATGGATCTACTCTCTAGTAAGGATAGCTGTAGATGGATCTACTCTCCAGTAAGGATAGCTGTAGATGGATCTACTCTCCAGTAAGGATAGCTGTAGATGGATCTACTCTCCAGTAAGAATAGCTGTAGATGGATCTACTCTCCAGTAAGAAGTGCTGTAGATGGATCTACTCTCCAGTAAGGATAGCTGTAGATGGATCTACTCTCCAGTAAGAATAGCTGTAGATGGATCTACTCTCCAGTAAGAATAGCTGTAGATGGATCTACTCTCCAGTAAGAAGTGCTGTAGATAGATCTACTCTCCAGTAAGGGATAGCTGTAGATGGATCTACTCTCCAGTAAGAATAGCTGTAGATGGATCTACTCTCTAGTAAGGATAGCTGTAGATGGATCTACTCTCCAGTAAGAATAGATGTAGATGGATCTACTCTCCAGTAAGAAGTGCTGTAGATGGATCTACTCTCCAGTAAGGATAGCTGTAGATGGATCTACTCTCCAGTAAGAAGTGCTGTAGATGGATCTACTCTCCAGTAAGAAGTGCTGTAGATAGATCTACTCTCCAGTAAGAATAGCTGTAGATGGATCTACTCTCCAGTAAGGGATAGCTGTAGATGGATCTACTCTCCAGTAAGAATAGCTGTAGATGGATCTACTCTCCAGTAAGAATAGATGTAGATGGATCTACTCTCCAGTAAGAAGTGCTGTAGATGGATCTACTCTCCAGTAAGGATAGCTGTAGATGGATCTACTCTCCAGTAAGAATAGCTGTAGATGGGATCTACTCTCTAGTAAGGATAGCTGTAGATGGAAACTACTCTCCGTAAAAAGTGCTGGGAGTGGATCTACTCTCTAGTAAGGGATAGCTGTAGATGGATCTACTCTCCAATAAGAAGTGCGTAGATGGATCTACTCTCTAGCTGTAGATGGATCTACTCTCAGTAAGAAAGCTGTAGAGGATCTACTCCCAGTAAGAAGTGCTTTTAGTGGATCTACTCTCTAGTAGGATAGCTGTAGATGGATTACTCTTAGTAAGGATAGCTATAGATGGATCTACTATCCAGTAAGAAGTGCTGTAGAGGATCTTTCTCTCCAGTAAGAAGTGCTGTAGATGGATCTACTCTCCAGTAAGAATAGCTGTAGATGGATCTACTCTAGTAAGGATAGCTGTAGATGGATCTACTCTCCAGTAAGAGTGCTGTAGATGGATCTACTCTCCAGTAAGGAGTGCTGTAGATGGATCTACTCTCCAGTAAGATAGCTGTAGATGGATTACTCTCTAGTAAGAATAGCTGTAGATGGATCTACTCTCCAGTAAGAATAGTGTAGATGGATCTACTCTCCAGTAAGAAGTGCTGTAGATGGATCTACTCTCTAGTAAGGGATAGCTGGTAGATGGATCTACTTCTCCAGTAAGAATAGCTTGTGATGGATCTACTCTCTAGTAAGGATAGCTGTAGATGGATCTACTTCCCAGTAAGAAGTGCTCGTAGATGGATCTACTCTCTAGTAAGGATAGCTGTAGATGGATTCCTACTCTCCATGTAAAGTGCGTAGATGGATCTACTCTCTAGCTGTAGATGGATCTACTCTCCAGTAAGAATAGCTGTAGATGGATCTATTCTCCAGTAAGAGTGCTGTAGATGGATCTACTCTCCAGTAAGAAGTGCTGTTAGATGGATCTACTCTCCAGTAAGAAGTGCTGTGATGGATCTACTCTCCAGTAAGGAATAGCTGTAGATGGATCTACTCTCCAGTAAGGGATAGCTGTAGATGGATCTACTCTCTAGTAAGGATAGCTGTAGATGGATCTACTCTCTAGTAAGGATAGCTGAGAGGATTCTACTCCCAGTAAGGGATAGCTGTAGATGGATCTACTCTCCAGTAGGATAGTATAGAGGGATCTACTCTCCAGTAAGAAGTGCTGTAGATGGATCTACTCTCCAGTAAAGGTTAGCTGTAGATGGATCTACTCTAGTAAGGAAGCTGTAGATGGATCACTCTCCCGTAAGAAGTGCGTAATGGATCTACTCTCCAGTAAGAATAGCTGTAGATGGGTCTACTCTCCAGTAAGGTTAGCTGTAGATGGATCTACTCTCTAGTAAGGATAGCTGTAGATGGATCTACTCTCCAGTAAGAAGTGCTGTAGATGGATCTACTCTCCAGTAGGAAGCTGTAGATGGATCACTCTCCAGTAAGAATAGCGTAGATGGATCTACTCTCCATAAGGATAGCTATAGATGATCTACTCTCCAGTAAAAAAGTGGGTGAGATGATGATTCACTCTCTAGTAAGGGCTGTGAGATGGATCTACTCTCCAGTAAGAATAGCTGTAGATGGATCTACTCTCTAGTAAGGATAGCTGTAGATGGATCTATTCTCCAGTAAGAAGTGCTGTAGATGGATCTACTCTCCAGTAAGAAGTGCTTTAGATGGATCTACTCAATCAATCAATCAATTTTATTTTATATAGCCCTTCTTACATCAGCTAATATCTCGAAGTGCTGTACAGAAACCCAGCCTAAAACCCCAAACAGCTAGTAATGCAGGTGTAGAAGCACGGTGGCTAGGAAAAACTCCCTAGAAAGGCGAAAACCTAGGAAGAAACCTAGAGAGGAACCAGGCTATGAGGGGTGGCCAGTCCTCTTCTGGCTGTGCCGGGTGGAGATTATAACAGAACCATGCCAAGATGTTCAAAAATGTTCATAAGTGACAAGCATGGTCAAATAATAATCAGGAATAAATCTCAGTTGGCTTTTCATAGCCGATCATTAAGAGTTTGAAAACAGCAGGTCTGGGACAGGTAGGGGGTTCCATAACCGCAGGCAGAACAGTTTAAACTGGAATAGCAGCAAGGCCAGGCGGACTGGGGACAGCAAGGAGTCACCACGGCCGGTAGTCCCGACGTATGGTCCTAGGGCTCAGGTCTCTCAGTTGGCTTTTCATAGCCGATCATTAAGAGTTGAAAACAGCAGGTCTGGGACAGGTAGGGGTTTCGTAGCCGCAGGCAGAACAGTTGAAACTGGAATAGCAGCAAGGCCAGGCGGACTGGGGACAGCAAGGTGTCATCATGCCCGGTAGTCCTGACGTATGGTCCTAGGGCTCAGGTTCTCAGAGAGAAAGAGGAGAACGAGAGAATTAGAGAGAGCATACTTAAATTCACACAGGACACTGGATAAGACAGGAGAAGTACTCCAGGTATAACCAACTAACCCCAGCCCCCCCGACACATAAACTACTGCAGCATAAATACTGGAGGCTGAGACAGGAGCGGTCCGGAGACACTGTGGCCCCATCCGAAGAAAACCCCCGGACAGGGCCAAACAGGAAGGATATAACCCCACCCCAATCCGCCAAAGCACAGCCCCACGCCACCACTAGAGGGATATCCCCCAACCACCAACTTTACAATCCTGAGACAAGGGCCGAGTAAGCCCACAGAGGTCTCCACCACAGCACAAACCAAGGGGGGGTTCTACTCTCCAGTAAGAATAGCTGTAGATGGATCTACTCTCCAGTAAGGGATAGCTGTAGATGGATCTACTCTCTAGTAAGGATAGCTGTAGATGGATCTACTCTCTAGTAAGGGATAGCTGTAGATGGATCTACTCTCCAGTAAGAAGTGCTGCCCAACCTATTATTTAGATTTTTTATAGTGGATATAGCGATGATCTGACATTGTTTCAAAGGTACAAATTCAACATTTTTTATACAAGGTTTGTCTATGTTGAACAATGGTTACCATGATGATCTAGTCCTGTGGTTGAAATTTCAGCCTCTAAAACAACAGTTTACGTCGACGACTTTTTTGCAATTCCATGTAGATTCCACGCCACAATGCGTTGACAAATTACATTGAAACAATGTTGATACAACCAGTTTGTGCCCAGCGGGTTGGCGTGGCACAGGCATGCCCTCATACAGTACAGTAACTAAGCAAATATCTGAGAGTACAATGTCGACAGCTCAGCAGTTTATTTTTCTGCATCTCATCGTAGCTGGGGACTCTCAGATGACCCAGGGCTTGGAAAGAGGGTTGTGAAGAACATCTTGCTATCACAGCCACCACACAGGATCTCCGAAACCCTGATTTTATTTTGAAGATGCCATGGTCTTAGATACTATCAAAGACTGGATGAATTTCTGAAAGACGGAAATTAAAATGTGTTCTCCCTCACAGACTAAATACAATCTACCATCATGGTGTGATCGTGTTCTGTGGAAGTCCTACCCACTGGTGCATGTGTTCTGTCAGTCATACGGTGAGACTACTGCAATGATAATTGATCGATTTGATTAATTGTAGTAACCAATAAAATATGTTTCATCTTAGCTAATATTATACCAATTATATCATTTTGCAACCTCTCTTGCAGGGTGCACCAATGACATCATGACCAGTGACCACTCTCCAGTTTTCTCAACATTTGAAGTCGGGGTGGCATCACAGTTTGTCTCCAAACATGGTACGGTTTCTAACTTCATTAGACAACTACTGTCTGTATCTGATGTGTAAAGATCTGAAGAGAATTGTCAAAAGACCAATTAGTGGGAAAAAATATCAGCCTGTGTGTCTGACATAACTGACATTAAATTTAAAGTATTTCGGAATGATCTGCCCCTAAGAAGTTTTTCTAGTGTTTTCCTTGTCAAACTCCATAGACAACTATATAGGTTCGAATCCAGGCTCTGTCGTAGCCGGCCGCGACCCGGGAGACCCCATGGGGCGGCGCACAATTGGCCCAGCGTCGTCCAGGGTAGGGGAGGGAATGGCCGGCAGGGGATGTAGCTCAGTTAGTAGAGCATGGCGTTTGCAACGCCAGGGTTGTGGGTTCGATTCCCACGGGGGGGGGGCCAGTATAAAAAAAGAAATAAAAAAAAAGAATGTATGCACTCACTAACTGTAAGTCGCTCTGGATAAGATCGTCTGCTAAATGACTAAAATGTAAATGTACAACTGTCTTTCCAGATCCCAACAGTGTGTCTCAGGGTGGGATCAAGTTCATGAACTGCGTTGCCACGCTCATGACCAAGTCCAAGACCAAGTTCTTCATCGAATACCACTCCAGCTGCTTAGAGAGTAAGAATAGGCTACTTCCTTATTCGATCCGAACACGGTGGTCAGTGGATCATAGGATAACACTAAAATCAAACGTATTTGTCATGGATCACCATTAGCTGCTGCCAAGGTTACTCTTCCTGGCGTTCAGCAAAAATTTAAGGCAGTAATAAACATTATAATAAAAATTCTAAACATTAAAATACATCTTACAACAGATTTCACGATACATTAAGTGTGTGCCCTCAGGCCACTATTCTACTACAACACACCATCCAGGTGTACGTGTGTGGATAGTGTCTATGTTATGTGTGTTTGTATGCGTGTGTTTGTACCTGTGTGTGTGACTCTTCACAGTCCTCGCTGTTCCATAAGGTGTATTTTAATCTGTTTTTTTTTTTTTTATCTAATTTTACTACTTGCATCAGTTACTTGATGTGGAATAGAGTTCCATGTAGCCATGGCTCTATGTAGTACTGTGCGCCTCCCATAGTCTGTTCTGGACTTGATGACTGTGAAGAGACCTCTGGTGGCATGTCTTGAGGGGTATGCATGGGTGTCCGAGCTGTGTGCTAGTAGTTTAAACAGCATTCAACATGTCAATACTTCTTACAAAAACAAGTAGTGATGAAGTCAATCTCTCCTCTACTTTGACCCATGAGAGATTGACATGTATATTATAATGTTAGCTCTATGTGTACATTTAAGGGCCAGACGTGCTGCCCTGTTAAGGGCCAGTTGTAATTTTTCCAAGTCCCTCTTTGTGGCACCTGACTTCACAACTGGGCAGTAGTCCAGGTGCGACAAAACTAGGGCCTCTAGGACCTGCTTTGTTGATATTGTTATTAAGAAGGTAGAGCAGCAATTTATTGTGGACATATCTCTCCCCATCTTAGCTACTTTTGCATCAATATGTTTTGACCAAAACAGTTTACAATCAATTTCCATATTATTCATTACAATATTTAGTTCAGGTTTAGGGTTTAGTGAATGATTTGTCTCAAATACAATGCTTTTAGTTTTGGAAAATGTAGGACTAATTTACTCCTTGCCACCCATTCGGAAACTGAATGCAGCTCTTTGTTAAGTTTTGCAGTAATTACACTCGCTGTAGTAGCTGACGTGTATAGTGTTGAGTCATCCGCATACATAGACACACTGGCTTTACTCAGAGCCAGTTGCAGGTCATTAGTAAAGATTGAAAAAAGTAAAGGTCCTAAACAGCTGCCCTGGGGAATGCCTGATTCTACCTGGATTATGTTGGAGAGGCTAACATTAAAGAACACCCTCTGTGTTCTGTTAGACAGGTAACTCTCAATCCACAATATAGCAGGTGGAGTAAAGCCATAACATGTACGTTTTTCCAGCAGAATACTATGATCGATAATGGCAAAAGCCGTACTGAAGTCTAACAAAACAGTTCCCACAATCTTTTTATTATCAATTTCTCTCAGCCAATCATCCGTAATTTGTGTAAGTGCCGTCCGTACATGTTGAATGCCCTTCCCTATAAGCGTGCTGAAAGTCTGTTGTTAATTTATTTACTGTAAAATAGCATTGTATCTGGTCAAACATAATATTTTCCAAAAGTTTACTAAGGGTTGATGACAGGCTGATTGGTCGGCTATTTGAGCCGACCAATGGGTAGTGGAATGACTTTTGCTTCCTTCCAGGCCTGAGGGCACACACATTTTTGTAAGATTGGAGATATGGCAAATAGGAGTGGCAATATCGTCCGCTATCATCCTCAGTAATTTTCCATCCAAGTTGTCAGACCCAGGTGACTTGTCACCTCTTCCACACTCACTATACGGAATTCAAAATGACAATGCTTGTCTTTCATAATTTGGTCAGATATACTTGGATGTGAGTTCAGCGTTTGTTGCTCTCTTGTCATGCCTAAGTTTGCTAATCTTGCCAATTAAAAAAACTATTCAAGTAGTTTCCAATATCAGTGGTTTTTGTGATGAACGAGCCATCTGATTCAATTAATGATGGAGCTGAGTTAGCCTTTTTGGCCCAAAAAATGTTTAAGATGCTCCAAGGCTTTTTACTATAATTTAAACTTTCTTTTTGTTCTGTTTAGTCACATGATTTCTCCATTTGCAGTAGGTTTGCCAATCGGTTATGCAGCCAGACTTATTTACCATTCCTTTTGCCTCATCCCTCTCAACCATAACATTTTTTCAATTCCTCATCAATCCATGGGGATTTAACTGTTTTTACAGTCATTTTCTTAATGGGGGCATGCTTATTAGTAACTGGAGTAAGCAATTTCATAAATGTGTCAAGTGCAGCGTCTGGTTGCTCCTCATTACACACCACAGACCAGCAAATATTCTTTACATCATCAACATAGGAATTAATACAAAACCTCTTGTATGACCTCTTATACACAATATTAGGTACAGCCTTTGGAACTTTGGTTTTCCTAGATATGGCTACTATATTGTGCTCACTACATCTGATGGATTTGGATACTGCTTTAAAGCAGATTTCTGCAGCATTAGTAAAGATGTGATCAATACATGTGGATTTCATTCCTGTTCTGTTTGTAAATACCCTGGTAGGTTGACTGATAACCTGAACCAGGTTGCAGGCACTGGTTACAGTTTGAAGTTTTTCTTGAGTGGGCAGCTTGATGAAAACCAGTCAATATTTAGGTCACCCAGAAAATATACCTCTCTGTTGATATCACATACATTATCAAGCATTTCACACATGTTATCCAGATACTGACTGTTAGCACTTGGTGGTCTATAGCAGCTTCCCACCAGAATGGGCTTTAGGTGAGGCAGATGAACCTGTAGCCATATTCCTTCAACAGTATTTAACATGAGATCCTCTCTAAGCTTTACAGGAATGTGGTTCTGAATATAGACCGCAACACCATCCCCCGTTGGCATTTCTGTCTTTTCAGTAGATGTTATAACCATGTATTGCTACCACTGTATCATCAAAGGTATTATCTAAGTGAGTTTCAGAGATAGTCAAAATAGGAATGTCATCTGTTACTAGTAAGTTATTGATTTCATGAACCTTGTTTCTTAAGCTACATATGTTATTGTGGGGTTTCTTTAGCACTTTTCTGTGATGCTTGATTGTTTCAAAACAATATATATCAAGAGCTCCAACTGAAATGTAGCCTAACTCACAGTGACTGCACACTAGCATGGTCCCAGATCTGTTTTTCTTGCCAACTCCTATTGTTCATTCTCATACCAAACTTGAATTGGCTGTAGCGCACAAACAGATCTGGGACCGGGCTAACTGCACACATTCTGTCCACAGAATTCGTCAAGAGCTCGGAAGGAGAGAACCAAGATCACTCAGATGGGTCCATCAAAGTTCGGTTTGGAAACCAAGTTGAGGTTAGTTGACATTTAAGCTATTTTATTTACACTAGGCTAATTGTCTTTACAATATGGTGTATTTGATGTAATAGAGTTGTTGAGTGTCTGACCTCTTGTCTTTTTAAAGCTCGTCCCCATCATCTCAGACCCAGAGTATCTGTTGGATCAACACATCCTCCTGTGTGTCAAGTCCACAGACTGTGATGAATCCTATGGTGAGAAAGTAGGACAACTGTGGTCTGTTTGGAGAGACTCGTTGTGACAGTGACACAGACCACATTTGGGTTTGAGTAAATACTAGTCTAGGTCAATGAATCATGATCATCTATCTCTGTCATCATTTATCTCTGCCTTCATCTAGCTCTTCCTTCATCTATACTCTGTCATCATCTAGCTCTGTATTCATCTAGTTCTGTCTTCATCTAGCTCTGTCTTCATCTAGCTCTGTCATCATCTATCTCTGTCTTCATCTATTTCTGTCATCATCTAGTTCTGTCTTCATCTATCTCTGTCATCATCCAGTTCTGTCATCATTTCTCTGTCTTCATCTAGCTCTTCCTTCATCTATACTCTGTCATCATCTAGTTCTGTCTTCATCTATCTCTGTCTTCATCTAGTTCTGTCTTCATCTAGTTCTGTCTTCATCTAGGTCTGTCATCATCTAGCTTTGTCTTAATCTAGTTATGTCTTCATCTAGTTCTGTCTTCAACTAGCTCTATCATCATCTAGCTCTGTCATCATCTATCTCTGTCTTCATCTAGTTCTGTCATCATCTATCTCTGTCTTCATCTATCTCTGTCATCATCTAGTTCTGTCACCTAATTCTGTCATCATCTAGTTCTGTCTTCATCTAACTCTGTCTTCATTTATCTCTGTCTTCATCTAGCTCTGTCTTCATCTAGTTCTGTCTTCATCTAGTTCTGTCTTCATCTAGCTCTGTCAGAGAGTAAAAGCTTTTTACTAATCCTCCTCCTCCTGTTCCTCCTGTTCCTCCTCCTCCTCCCCCCTCTCCTCTTCCTCCTCCATGAAATGGTGTCATCCCTACAGGAGAGAGCTGTGTGGCTCTGCGAGCGGCGGAGTCCTCCTACACAGAGTTCCACGTCACACTGACGCACCACGGCGAACGGACGGGCACCCTGACGGGAGGTGTACAGCTACGCACCTCAGCAGGCAAACAGACTGAGAAGTTATATGGTGAGACTGACACCAATTAGTATACTAGGCTGCAACCAATGAAGTTATACGTAACTGACACAATAAGTTATACGTGGACTACAACCATGATTATACGTGACTGACAACCATGAAGTTATACGTGAGACTCACCATGATTATACGTGAGACTGCACTGATTATCGTGAGCTGACACATGTTATCGTAGTCTGACACCATGAAGTTATACGGTGAGACTGACACATTAGTTATACGTGAGCTGACACCAATGAAGTTTACGGTGAGGCTGCACCATTAAGTTATACGGTATCCGACAACCATGTGTTTACGTGGCTGACACCAATGCGTTACAGTGAGACTACAACAATGGCGTTTACGTGAGACTACACCACTGGCGTTATACGTAGCTACCATGCTTACGGTAGCTGACAACCATGGCGTTATACGTGAGGCTGCAAAATGGCGTATACGGTGAGGCTGAACATGGCTTATACGGTGAGGCTACAACCATGCGTTATACGTGAACTGACACCAATGGCGTATACGGTGAACTGACACCAATGCGTATCGGGAGGCTGACAACCAAGCGTTATACGGTGAGGCTGACAACCAATGGCGTTATACGGTGAGGCTGACAACCAATGGCGTTATACGGTGAGGCTGACAACCAATGGCGTTATACGGTGAGGCTGACAACCAATGGGTTATATGGTGAGACTGACAACCAATGGCGTTATACGGTGAGGCTGACAACCAATGAAGTTATACGGTGAGGCTGACAACCAATGGCGTTATACGGTGAGGCTGACAACCAATGGCGTTATACGGTGAGGCTGACAACCAATGGCGTACTGTACCATTAAAATGTTTCTATTTTTGTTGCATTTTGTCTTCAGATTTCATCAAAGTGGAAAGGGACGATTCTGGTGCCTCTAAAGGAAAAGGTCTTGATCACATCAACAAGTGAGATCTCCCTCTTCACTCATGGCTACTTTGCAACTTTCAAGCAAAGCTGACATGTGATCCCAAGTCCTTTTTAAAAAACGAATGAAAAAAAATTTTTTGTTTTAAGCATGTATGAGCCTTCACTCTTTACGTTCCCTTTACCTGTTAATTGTGAGATGATCATCTGGTTATTGGTCCTGTTCAATAGGTTGGCTCTTCCCGCTGATATCACCAACCCCAGTTACATGGGGGTGGGCTACAAGTCTGGAGGTGTGGCAGACAGGGGCTGGAGCTACAGCATGCCCCCCAGATCAGGCTCCGGAGGTGGGGGTGGTGTCGTTGGGTTCGGGGGTAGGGACCAGACCCATGGAAACATCTCTCCCAAAAAGACTGTCTACGACCACAGCGCTGTGCGAAGCCCTACAGGAAAAGCAATCGATAATGTGTACGTTTCTCTTGGACTAGCTTAGCTCTAAGAGTTAAAAAAAGATCTACGAGTTTATAGTTTTCAGAACTCCTGATTGTCTGTGTGTGTGTGTGTGTGTGTGTGTGTGTGTGTGTGTGTGTCTGCCTGCCTGTGTGTCCTGTCTTCTAGTGGTGAGGACGGGAAGCCAGCGGAGATGTTTGACAACCCTCTGTACGGCTCCATGGGGAAGGGAGGAGCAAGATCACGTGGATCTAAAGACCAACCAGTCCCCCAATGCTCCAAGGACCACCTGATCCCTCCAGACCCCATCTTCTCCTTCACCAAACCCTCTGACCAGGACCCTGACCGCGCTCCGGTCCCCACCCCGCGTAACCGCTCTTACACCTGTTCTGAGACCAAGCCCCCGTGTTCAGCCCCAACTGCTTCAGCCTTGGCCGCCTTCCCCTCCCAGACCTACACCAAGAACCCTGTGAAGCCGTCACGCTCTGAGGGGGGCATGGTGCTAATGACCAATAGGCCACCTCTGCCCATGAAGTCCCGCCCAGGCCAGGCGGACGCCACGCCCACTAAGCCTAGAGACTACAGAGACAGCTCGGAGCTGCCCAGCAAACTCCGCCCACCTGCAAGGCCCATCCAGCCCCTCCCCAAAGATGGTAAATCTCCAGTAACTTTCCCTCATGAAACGGTCCATTTCACGCCAGTGGTCTCGGTTTAGATATCATGCAAGCAAGTTGCTTATAGCTTCTGTTGTCATGGTTTTAAACTAAGCATACCACAGAGGAAGAGGTTATGTACATTAAACTATGTACATAGTCGACACAACAGGCTGATGTGAAAGGAACTTTGTCTGTAATGGAAATCTCTCTTCTCCTCTTCCCCAGCACTTCATGAGACAACTCAACCCCCGAAGATGGGCCGTTCAGTGAAATGACTGTGTGTGCTTTGGCTGAAAAAGCCTCCTCCTGTCCTATATGTTAAAATTAGTTGAATGGTGGCTAGTGGCAGGTGACGACTAACTCCAACTCCTCACCCCCAGCCCGGTCGCTGCACTGCTTGCCTTCCTGACTCTCCAAAACAAGTTTCTGTCCAAACTCACCTTTTCCATATGCGTTAGGCCATATTACTGGCAACTCTCTGGGGATTTGTGGAGTCCTCTTAAATAAGTATAATTGTTATTTTTTTTTGCACAGAAAAGCTCTTTAGATTATAGGAATCATTTTTAAAGACTTGCACAACAATCTCAATGTGTCTCTATTAAACAAAAGGGAATCATACTCACCTGCCTCTCCTATTCATTTTTCACATGTTCATATGCCCAGCAGCCAAGTATCCTTTATATATGTAATGCTACCACCTGCTGGTATGTTGACAGTATTGCATGCATGTGAATACATTTAAAATTAAGTGGCCAACATAATAATTGGATTGGAAAAGTTTTTTTCATCCTTCTTCTTTTACCAACTGCATAGAAGATACAGTGGGGGAAAAAAGTATTTAGTCAGCCACCAATTGTGCAAGTTTTCCCACTTAAAAAGATGAGAGAGGCCTGTAATTTTCATCATAGGTACACGTCAACTATGACAGACAAATTGAGAAAAAAATATCCAGAAAATCACATTGTAGGATTTTTTATGAATTTATTTGCAAATTATGGTGGAAAATAAGTTCAACACTCTGCTGCTACTGGCTGGAATAAACTCCAACAGGATTTCAAAAACGCAACCATTTCATCTCCCTCCCCAATTTCATCAAGAGTATAAACTACCTGGTTATCCACCCCTGCTTTTAACTGCTTCAGTAGCTGCTAATGAAATGCTAATTAGCTGCTAATGTGGCTATCATAAAGAACTACAAATGCCATGATGATCTGGACGAGACTGCCGAATCGAGGCAAAGGTAAGAATCTCTGGGTTAACTATCCAATGTTAGCTACATTTAGTGATGAATACATTGGCTGAATTTCTTTAAGTTGACAATTCTGTGAACAAGTTTTAAATTGACACAATACCTGTTAGCAAAGATGTCAGCTAGAGGTGACATGCAGGAGCTTGCAGGGATTTGTAGTTCTGCATGATGTCTCCGTTGATGCTAATTAGCATTTTCGAATCGGAGAGTAAATAGAGACGAATATATTGATAAAAGCCACCTTGTCCGAGAGAGATTTACATGGTTATCAAAACATCACGCCAGGGTGAGCCTACATGAAACACAGCCCTTATTTAAAGTTTCTAAAATCCCATACGGGAAAAATGAATAGTGGAAAAACATGGAACCATTTCCCTGTTTGACCGCTAGGTTTTATGGGTATTATGACACCTCCCTTGTGGGGCTCTATGGAGTTGGCAAGAGCATCAACTAATCTGGGACAAGGCTAGGGGTTGGGGCCTGTTGGTGAGGGGGACAAGGCTATGGGTTGGGGGCTGTTGGTGGGGGGACCAGGGTAGGGGTTGGGGGCTGTTGGTGGGGGGACCAGGCTATGGGTTGGGGGCTGTTGGTGAGGGGACCAGGGTAGGGGTTGGGGGCTGTTGGTGGGGGGACCAGGGTAGGGGTTGGGGGCTGTTGGTGGGGGGACCAGGGTAGGGGTTGGGGGCTGTTGGTGGGGGGACCAGGGTAGGGGTTGGGGGCTGTTGGTGGGGGGACCAGGGTATGGGGTTGGGGGCTGTTAGTGAGGAGACCAGGCTATGGGTTGGGGGCTGTTAGTGAGGGGACCAGGCTAGGGGTTGGGGGCTGTTAGTGAGGGGACCAGGGTATGGGGTTGGGAGCTGTTAGTGAGGGGACCAGGCTAGGGGTTGGGGGCTGTTGGTGGGGGGACCAGGGTAGGGGTTGGGGGCTGTTGGTGAGGGGGACCAGGCTAGGGGTTGGGGGCTGTTGGTGGGGGGACCAGGGTAGGTGTTGGGGGCTGTTGGTGGGGGGACCAGGGTAGGTGTTGGGGGCTGTTGGTGGGGGGACCAGGGTAGGGGTTGGGGGCTGTTGGTGGGGGGGACCAGGCTAGGGGTTGGGGGCTGTTGGTGGGGGGGACCAGGCTAGGGGTTGGGGGCTGTTGGTGGGGGGACCAGGGTAGGGGTTGGGGGCTGTTGGTGGGGGGGACCAGGCTAGGGGTTGGGGGCTGTTGGTGGGGGGGACCAGGCTAGGGGTTGGGGGCTGTTAGTGGGGGGACCAGGGTAGGGGTTGGGGGCTGTTGGTGAGGGGGACCAGGCTAGGGGTTGGGGGCTGTTGGTGGGGGGACCAGGCTAGGGGTTGGGGGCTGTTGGTGGGGGGACCAGGCTAGGGGTTGGGGGCTGTTAGTGGGGGGACCAAGCTAGGGGTTGGGGGCTGTTAGTGAGGGGTGGGATGGGCAGATGGGCAGATGGACAGATGGACAGATACGTTAAGTTGGGTAATTTAATTAGTTGATTAGTTTAGTTTAGTTGGGTAATTTGATTAGCTTAGTTGGGTATTTTAATTTGTTTAGGTGGGTAATTTAAAATTGAGTGGTTATCACATTTTTTTTTGCATTATTACTATTTTGTGTATAGAAAGACTTCAATGCAAAACTGTATCCCCCTGAAAGTGCATTCCTTGTTGGCTCTATTTTACATTCTACCTCACATGTCAACTAGGGTCTCCCAGCACTTTATACTCTTATTTTTCATTTGTGAAACGCTGACAACACTTACATTAAATGTGTATTCGATAGATCAGCATTATTTGCCGATGTTTGAAATGACTGTCCAGATTCTGCCCAGGTTATTTTGTTCACGTTCTTCAGAAACATTGTGCCGTGTGCAACATTGATATACTGTATTTTCTGTCTGAATGTGACCATCATGAATGAATGGTCTGCTTTTGTTTTCCCTTTAGATTGAGAGTTTTCGCTCCTCTTCTTTCATAATGAAAGACCAGGGGTGTAATCATTGCGCCGATTGAAACCTTTTACTCCAAACGGAAAATGCAAACGAGAGTTTCTATTGGATAAATTCAGGTAGGTCCCGCCCCGTTTCATTCCGTTTGCTCTGTTTGCTTCAGTTTGGTTCTTAAATGGTTTCCATAATGAATACACCCCAGGAGATTTCAGTTTGTAGTACAGCGCTGAAGATATTATTTTGATCACCTCTTTGATATGTGGTGTACATAAAACCTGATTTGAATCCTTTTCTGTTGTCGTTCAATCATTTGAATGCATGGGCTATATACAATATGTGTACGGCTATGTCATGCCAGGGGGATAGTCGCTTGCACCATAGACATTAAAACTAGTTTGCAGGGGGCGCAACTCATACTAGGAAGGTGCTCCTAATGTTTGGTATACTCTTTGTACAGGCCAGTCCTGGTGTCTTGAACAAGCAGAAGTCTCGTCCTTCTCCCCAGAGTGCACTACATCAGAGAGGAAGAGGCAAAGCCAGAGGGAAAACTGGGCCCAAAATCTGTCTTCTTTTTTTGCTTCTCTCTCTCACCAAGCGAGAAGTTGTTGTATGGAGTTCAATGAGAGTGTCGAATTTGGTCAACCAAAAATGAATGGCTCATTTGCTGCTTGAGGTTTATTTGATCGAATATAAGTTTCGTAATGTTTAAGTTGTTACGACTGTACTGATATAAGTAGGACATGTGACTTTCCGGTAACTTTGAGAGAAAAAAACACTTTATATCAGAGTTTTGCCTGTTGTTCACGTGCATCTGCCCTCTCATTGGCTAGAATAGCCCCACCTGATCTTGCCTCCTCCCAACTGCCTTCCATTTTTTTGAAGACATTTATTTTTATCGTTAGAGCGCCCACTAGAGTATCTGGTCAATATAATGGATCATCTGTGACTACGTAGGGAGTAGGCTGCCAGTTTGGACTCAACCTAAATATGTCAAACTCCCTCATGCCAAGGGTTAAATCTGTGATAAGAAGTATGTGAATGCACACTTCTGGAGAAGGATGGAGAATTGGGATGCAACCTGAGATCATTTTATTGGAGAGAACTGTGTTTAATACCTGATAACTTGGAGGCCTCGAAGAACCTGGAGAAGAACATAGGGAATATCTGTGTGTGTGTGTATATATATATATATATATATCTGTGATTTAGGGCAGAAGAGGGATAATTGGAATTGGGCCCAGGGTTCTGCTGATTGGTTGATGAAGATGAGGTCAGCCAGCTGTAGATCATTTGACTAGATGGCAGTTCCCATAAAAACTCCATAAAGTTCAGGACATAAACTGCTAGAATATTGATCACCTTTTCAGAGTATCGGCAGAATATTCAGGGAAGACGTCACGTCACCATACCTGTAGCAGGAAAATGGAAGTTGTTGCTATGGTAAGTTTACCACTTTCATTAGAACAGTATCTATTCAGACCGTATATGTTTAATACTGTGAGATTAATATTCTTTCAAAACAAAATAGCAATTTCAACCATGTCATTCATCCTTCAAGCAGCAAACCGTTTTAGAATAACTTAAACTATTTGCTTTGTGACGGGTTTGGTCAAGCAAACAGATGTAGTCCGGTGGGCCTGCTGCAGTCCTTCCCCTGACAAGGCATTCGCGTGCTCATACACTGTTTATACAGGAAGCCCAATTATGGGCAAAAGATCTGATTGGTCGAAAGACCAATCAGTGGAGAAAAAAATAATCGGAATGGCTGCCTGTGTAAACGCAGCACTTAGACTGACAAGTGCATGTAGGTCTACATGGGGGTGGCGTTCGTGTGTCTACGCGTCACATCAGTGAGTCTGTGATTGTGTGTGGATCACTTTTGGTCCACAGAAGATGCCTATCGCTAATCATGTGGACTCTGAAACGTACAACAGCGTTGGGCCTGCAGGTGGAATCTCTAATGCGATAAACATTCCATTTGGGCCGTCTGCGTTCGTTCATTCTCACCTATTTTTTTTTTATAACCGATACTTGTCTTCCATGATTTCATGCCGTGCGCTTCCTCATCTGTTAACAGATTCAATTACTTGATTTTTAAATGTCACATGGTAATATGTAACATAAAATGCAACGTTCTGTGTAACTGAAGTCCTGAGTTGACTTTTGCTGTCTGTTTTGGAGGTGGAGGTTGGATGCAACACGCAGGACTCCCAGCTAAGTTCATCACACGAGGAGTACTCGGATGACGAGGTATCTTCCATTTGCTGTACTCTAACTTGAGGGAGGAACTTTTTTAATTAAACTGGAGGAACACTAGTGGTCAATGAATGAATGCAGCTCTCGCACACAGTAGCCTAATAAATCGGACTGGTAACAGCTTTCTGGGATACAGTCTGATTTAAAGCACTGTAAAAATGTGTAAAGTTTCCTTCCAAGCCAGTGTTTAATCAAATTACATTTTAACGTACTCTACCGGTTGCAATATCCACAGGAAAGTATTTCCCTGACTTTTTAGTGTTGATATCACCTGGCATCTGCGCAAAACCATCAACTTCCTCCTTGAGCACGTGTCTTGGGTGACGTGCAATCAAATTGTGATAGCCACACAGACCTGCGTTTTGAAGTCTGTTTAACTTTCCTGCAGTGGCGGCTCCTGAAAAAATTCTCAGGGGGGGCAATTTTTCTGATTTAGGTGACCTACATACATTTTAAAAAAGATATGTCCAGCAACAACATGAAGACAGGGGCAGCATATAAGTCAATACTGATATACACATTACTTGCTTCAAAAAGGCCTCATGGTTGAATTGGAAATATGTGCACCTGAGCATAATTCACAACAAGCAAGCAGGAGCTTTTGATAGAGGCTACTGAAAACATTGATGCAAGTTATTGGTAATAAGAAATTTTTATAGACTTCCATATTCTGCCCTCTTGTATAGATTTGTGAAAATGAACAGTGATAGACATTTTGCCTGAAAACAGAATTTGAAAATAATTTCTAGAAAAGGTAAACACAGCTATCTGTATGGCTTTGTAAAAATGAACAACCATATTCTGGCCAATTGTATAGATTTGTAAATATGAACAACCATATTCTGGCCAATTGTATAGATTTGTAAAAATGAACATGAACAGATTTTATTTTCTTTTTTTTAAAATGAAAAATAACTATTTTAAACAACATCAACTGTGAACTGATTTGGGTGTGTGTTAAAGAGACAGACAGGGAGGGACAAAGAGAGAGAGAGAGGCTACATTACTTGTACTGAAACTGTTCTAGCTTGCTGCATGATCAAATTCAGCTGATGTGCATAGCAATGCACGTAATGGGCATTCTTGAAATGCTCACGCACCTTTTGCTGCACACCAGCCTTCTCTCCCCTCATCACACTGGCTCCATCGTAAGATTGCGCAATGAGTTTGACTTTCTCGTCGTCGGCAAAAAGACCGTTCAGTCTCTCCAAAAGCACACTGGCGATTGAGACTGAGGTTGATTCCGAGATGGGAAGGAACTCCAAAAAGCGCTCCTGCACTTTGTGGTTGCTATCTATGTACCTCAGCACAAGCACCAGCTGTGTCTGTGTAGAAACGTCCGTGGTCTCGTCAGCTTGGATAGCTACGAAGTTCGCCGACTTCACCTCCTCCACAATATGTTCCCTCATGACCGCTAGCATACACTCCAGTAGCTCGTTTTGAATGGTCTTTGATGTGCCCTTAAACTTTAGCATTTTTAAGATGGTCATCAAACACCTCATCTAATTGTGCCACAAAGTTGACAAGTCCAAGAAAAATACCAGGGTTGGTGGAGCCCTCAGTTTCATCTTTGCCTCGCAAAGCTAGCCATCTTGACAGTAGTACGTGAATTGATTAACGCTGCTACCCGTTCTTTTCTTAGTTATGTTCATGGTTATGTTACGTATGACGTAAGTGCAAGCCCTCCCGGAACCCATAGAGATTGTATTGAAAGCTCTGATATTTGAAAAAAAAAAAGATTTTACATGAGTCTATGAGAGACTTCTGGGGCGATTTTCAACCTGACTGAAATCGCCCCAAAAGGGGCGGGGCCATTTGAAGCACGACTTTAGCCTGATTGTACATTTAGTGGCAGATCAGACGTCTAGATTAGAACACTGATAACTACTGTTGCCGTGATATAATTGATTAGAAAAAAAATCCCTTCCTTTTCCCGTTTGGCAGTGCGTCGCCCATATCGCCCTAATGAACACACCGCCCCTGCTTTCCTGTGGATATTTTCTCTCAAATTCGGCACTATATGAGAACCAACCCTACGGACAATCGTCAGATTTAAGTTAAAATATAACTGTATTTAACTTTCGTGACAGACAAGGGACGTTTTTTTTCTCTTTTGTAAAAATGTGTGGCGAGGCTGGCGTCGTCACGTCAGGACTACGTCCACAGTAGGACCTAACTCTCACCACGGCTTATTTTCAGATCTCAACCAAGAAAGCGATGCACTGGAGACTTGGACCAGAGGACCACGATGATACTATGCTGTGTGACTTTGAGATGGCCTGTGATTATATCCAGGAGGAGATGCTGGTGAAGTCTGCAGACAATGGTGTGGCCTGTCTTAACATGGACAGACCCTGTGTTGGCTGATTGGGGTGGTGGTTTTTATGTTAATTTTAATATTTATATGAAATAATAAATTGCTCTAATCAACGTTATTGATAGAAAGTAAACTGCTGTATTTCTGCTAGATGACCCATCTCTTTGTCATACTGCAGTTGACTCCCTAATACCAATCTTTCACAGGACAGAAAGTAATGCAAAAAAAAGTACACATTGAGCAGATTTTTACATTTTTGTTTGACTAGTTACAATAAACTGTGACAAAGTGCACACTTTTGTTTTGAAATGTTTGATTAGGTATCTGTGGGCAAATAAAACCACAAATTTTTACCATAAGTCTTGCTGTGATACAGTATAATTACTTTTTATGAACATTGATTTACTGTAATACTGGTGGTCTTTGGTCAAATTATCATCCTTATATTGAACCTAGAAGTCTGTCTCTTGAAGCCATGCTAGTGTTATCGGGTGTAGATCAGGAAGTATTAACTCCATGTGTACCATATACTTTTCTGTGATCATTTTCATTTACGCTAACAAATGAGACAACAGTTAGGACAAACTATAGACTATAACAAATGACCCACCCCACACAGTTTATGTTGCAAACGTTCGCACTAATTTCTCTGAAGTGCTTTCAATTACTGGTTACTTGAATTGTGTGTTGTCACATTAAAGCATTAGACTTGACTCTCTCTGTGGAGTCCTGAGTTTGCTTTGTTTCCTAGGTGGCGGTGGGATGCATCACCCATGATTCTCTGTTACGTTTAATATCACACGAGGAGTACGCCGATGATGAGGTATGTCTTTCATTTGTAATCTAATGTGAAGCAGAAATTTATATTTAATCTTGAGGGACACTACACTGTGGTCAGAATACACAGGCACTCCCTACCACTGTTTTTTATTTTCAGATATCAACCAAGAAAGAGATGCATTGGAGACTTGGACCAGAGGACCACAATGATACTATTCCCTACACTGGAGACTTGAACCATAATGCTGCTATTCCCTACACTGGAGACTTGAACCATAATGCTGCTATTCCCTATGACTTCAATAATACTCTTCTGAATGACTTTGATATGGACAGTGAAGATACCCAGGAGGAGATGACGTCTGCAGAGGATGGTGTGTCCTGTCTAACACACAGATACAGGTCTTGTAGTATGGACAGACCCTCTGTTGGCTGATTGGTGTGTCTGTTTTTAGATTTTTGAATATGTAATGTCTAAATATGTTATGAATTAACGTAAATTAATAAAATTGATCCAGATTATTTTGGCCTTTTATTCAACGTTATTGACAGTAATTGATCTCCCAATTGACCCCCTCTAGTACCAGTCTTTCACAATAAATAAATTGTCATACAAACACAACTTTCTAAGATATGGAGCAGATTATATTTTTGTTAGACTATCAACAACCAACTCACAAACATTGTTTTGAGATGGTTATGTATCTAGGTTTATTTGAACCTCTTGGTACATATGCAGGAACATAAATAAAATGTGATGTCATAAAATATAAAACAAAAGATGTGCTTGGGTGGGCAAGGATGGGAGGTTGGGAAAAGCTTGGCTTGGGAGGGTGGGGTAAAGGGGGGGAGAAAATTGGGAGAGGGATGGGTTTGTCTTGGGAGTGAGAGGAGGAAGTACTTAACTATACTACAATGTAAACAAATATATTATTGTGACTTGCAAACCTGCTGTAAAATGAATGAGTTCTGGACAGATTAGGAGAGGATGCCGAGTCATTATTATTCCTTGTTTGTCAATATAACTAAGATCCAATGGTGGTAATTGGTGAGAGTGGAGGGGGGGATCCGACACTTCTCTGAAGTATGTGTGGGGCCTCCATCTCACTTCAGTCTCTTGGTGGACCCATTCTCCCCAGGTAGACACCCACCAGACATTTAATTTGCAAAGTAATACAAACTGTCAATAGGAAAAATAATAACTAATGATCTACAGCAATACTTTAAGTGGACCACAAAAAAATATTAAAATACTTAGAATGCTTAATAAGTGACAACAAACAACACATTTATAAAGATTACTTTATCCCATTACTCATCAATATGAAAGCAGATCTAATTAAATTGAATAATCTTCCCATAAATCTTACAGGTAGAATAAACGTCTTCAGAATGGCATGGCTCCCAAAGGTTTTGTATTTATTCTCGGTAATACCAATTACCCCACCGAAGACAATCTTTAAAAAAGTATACTAGGTCATAACACACTTTTATAGGGGCAAATAAAACTCATAGAATAAAAAGGAAAGTTTTACATCTTCCTGTGTCTGACGGTGGTTTTAACCTTCCAAACTTGGAATTGTATCAACTCGCCACCCAGGTATTTAACTTGTGACACATAGTTAAATGCACTAAAGAGGCACAATGGGTACATATTGAAGATGCGCATGCTCATCCACAGAATCTTTTCACGTGTCTATTTTCAAAGGTAAGAACATTAATCCCCTAGAGGCAATGTCAAAGTCTCAATCCACCGGATCCGCCAATGGCGGCCTTCCGCATCTGCGGTGGAAGGTGGCCGAGCTACAGCGGTGTTTGTCAGACCAGGAGACATCCTGAAAATTGGAGTTGTAGCTAGCGTCCGAAAGGTTTGGCCTACACACTAATATGACCTCTCTGTGGAAAGGTGAGACTCTCACGAGCAAGTACTTGTCAGTGTTTTGCTCTCTCTCTCTCTCTCTCTGTCTCTCTCTCTGTCCCCTCTCTCTCTGTCCCCCCTCTCTCTCTGTCCCCTGTCTCTCTGTCCCCTCTCTCTCTCCCTCTCCCCTCTCTCTCTGATCCCTCTCTCTCTCTCCCCTCTCTCTCTGATTCCTCTCTCTCTCTGTCCCCCCTCTCTCTGTCCTCTCTCTCTCTGTCCCCCCTCTCTCTGTCCTCTCTCTCTCTGTCCCCTCTCTCTCTGTCCCCCCTCTCTCTGTCCTCTCTCTCTCTGTCCCCTCTCTCTCTGTCCCCTCTCTCTCTGTCCCCCCGCTCTCTCTGTCCCCTCTCTCTCCCCTCTCTCTGTCCCCTCTCTCTCCCCTCTCTCTCTGTCCCCCCCGCTCTGTCCTCTCTCTCTCTGTCCCCTCTCTCTCTGTCCCCTCTCTCTCTCTCTCTCCCCTCTCTCTGATCCCTCTCTCTCTCTCCCCTCTCTCTCCCGATCCCCTCTCTCTCTGTCCCCCCTCTCTCTTCCCTCCTCTCTCTCTGTCCCCCTCTCTCTGTCCCTCTCTCTCTGTCCCCCTCCCTCTGTCCCCTCTCTCTCTGTCCTCCCTTCTCTCTTTCCCCCTCTCTCTCTCTCCCTCTCTCTCTGTCCCCCCGCTCTGTCCCCTCTCTCTCTGTCCCCCCTCTCTCTTCCCCTCTCTCTCTGTCCCCCTCTCTCTCCCCCTCTCTCTCTGTCCCCTCTCCTTCCCCTCTCTCTCTCTTCCCCCCGCTCTCTCCCCTCTCTCTCTCTCTCCCCTCTCTCTTTTCCCCCTCTCTCTGTCCCCCTCTCTCTCCTCTCTCTCTCTTTCCCCTCTCTCTCCCTCTCTCTCCTGTCCCCCCCTCTCTCCCCTCTCTCTCTGTCCCCTCTCTCTTGTCCCCCTCTCTCCCTCTCTCTGTCCCCCTCTCTCTCTGTCCCCTCTCTCTCTCCCCCTCTCTCTTCCTCTCTCTTGTCCCCCCGCTCTCTCCCCCTCTCTCTCTGTCCCCTCTCTCTCTTCCCCTCTCTCTCTCCTCTCCCCTTCTTCCTCTGTCCCATCTCTCTCTTCCAACCTCTCTCTCTCGTCCCCTCTCTCTCTGTCCCCTCTCTCTTCCCTCTGTCTCCCCCTCTCTCTCCCTCCCTCTCTCTCTTCCCCCCGCTTCTCTCCCCTCTCTCTCTGTCCCCTCTCTCTCTCTCCCCCCTCCTCTGTCCCCTCCCTCTCTTCCTCGTCCTCTCTGTCCCCTCTCTCTCTGATCCCCTCTCTCTCTGTCCCCCTCTCTCTCTGGTCCCCCCTCCCTCTCTCTCTCCACTCTCTATGATCCCTCTCGCTCTCTCCCCTCTCTCTCTGATCCCTCTCTCTCTGTCCCATCTCTCTCTGTACCCCCTCTCTCTCCCCCGCTCTCTCCCTTCTATCTGTAACCTCTCTCTCTGATCCCTATCTCTCTCTACTCTCTCTGTCCCCCTATCTCTCCTCCCCCTCTCTCTCTGTCCCCTCTCTCTCCCTCTATCTCTACCCCTCTCTCTCCCTCTTCCTGATCCCTCTCTCTCTTCCCCTCTCTCTCTGTCCCCTCTCTCTGTCCCCTCTCTCTCTGTCCCCTCTCTCTCTGTCCCCTCTCTCTCTGTCCCCTCTCTCTCTGTCCCCCCTCTCTCTCTGTCCCCTGTCCCCTCTCTCTCTGTCCCCTCTCTCTCTGTCCTCTGTCCCCTCTCTCTCTTTGTAGACGCCCACTAACCTCACACCACTCATATGAAGGTAGCCCGGCACCAGTTACATTTTTTTATGGAAGTAGTTTAGTGCCAAAAAAGGGGTTAAGTATCGGTATAAAAAAATCTAAATAATAATTTCCTGATCTTCCTTATATCTCCCAGATATAGGACAGACACTTTGAAACAAACTTCCTTTTTATTTATTTTTTGAGTTTCTCCATGTATGAATCTGTTTTTCAATGTGTTTCTATGGGCTAATTAGCAGTAAGGCCAAATTCAATGTTTCATCAAATATATATATATATTTTTTAATTGTTTATACCTAGACTCTTAAGGATTAACAACTTCATAGCTAAGAACACTATAACAATATGGAAGAAAATGTAAGTATTCTGCAAGATTCAATATCACTCCCTTAAAAACACAACCCTATGGAACAATCCTTGGATAGCTTTTCAGAATTCACCGATAATGTGGTCCACATGGAAACCTAAAGGCTTGGTAACAGGAAATACATTTATTTCCATGACAGAATTAAAAAGCAATTTTGGACTGACAAATGTATATATTTTCAAATACATGCAACTTAAAAGTTTCATATCAAGAAATTTCTATTTGAAATCTTTTGGACATGAGAGCAATCTTGAGGGAATATTATTTGAGTCAGAAAATGATATTCATATGATAGGGAAGACATAGCAAACCTTGCAGAGAGTCGATCCAAATGACAATCTCTTAAAAAATATATTTAAACTATTTGAACCAAGACTAAAAAAACTGATATTGGCTCAAGATGGAGTGAATGTTGAAACAAAACTAACGAGATTACAGTTCATGAAAATGTACGCTTAATCCAGTATAAACTAATGTATAGAATTTATTACACGAGACAAAATTCACAAATTCTACAGCACAACGGCAGAGTCTTGTCTTAAGCGTAAAACTAACAATGACTCAATAGTTCATGCCTTCTGGGAATTCTATAAAGTCCAAAAGTTATGGGCGGAGTAAGAAAGTTAGCTGTCAGAAGTATTACCGTGGAAACTGACTTTAATCCGTCTGTCTGCATATTTCAAGACATGGCATATGGGGGTGCAGTGAGATACCTGATGGATTGGACGATTCTTTTCTCATCAATCATCTTGAAAAAACTATACTTAACTGGAAATCAACCAATCCTCCATCGTTAACATTTACATTTGAGTCATTTAGCAGACGCTCTTATCCCGAGCGACTTACAGTTAGTGAGTGCATACATTTTTCACTACTGAGTTCCAAACTGCCTCTGGAAGCAACGTCAGCACAATAACTGTTCGTCGGGAGCTTCATGAAATGGGTTTCCATGGCCGAGCAGCCGCACACAAGCCTAACATCACCAAGCATCGGCTGGAGTGGTGTAAAGCTTGCCACCATTGGACTCTGGAGCAGTGGAAACGCATTCTCTGGAGTGATGAATCACGCTTCACCATCTGGCAGTCCGACGGATGCCATGGGAACGCTACCTGCCTGAGTGCATATTGCCAACTGTAAAGTTTAGCGGTGGAGGAATAATGGTCTGGGGCTGTTTTTCATGGTTCGGACTAGGCCCCTTAGTTCCAGTGAAGGGAAATCTTAATGCTACAGCATACAATGACATTCTAGACGATTCTGTGCTTCCAACTTTGTGGCAACAGTTTGGGGAAGGCCCTTTCCTGTTTCAGCATGGGCATGCCCCCGTGCACAACGCGAGGTCCGTACAGAAATGGTTTGTCAAGATCGGTGTGGAAGAACTTGACTGGCCTGCACAGAGCCCTGACCTCAACCCCATCGAACACCTTTGGGATGAATTGGAATGCAGACTGCGAGCCAGGCATAATCGCCCAACATCAGTGCCCGACCTCACTAACGCTCTTGTGGCTGAATGGAAGCAAGTCCCCGCAGAAATGTTCCAACATCTAGTGGAAAGCCTTCCCAGAAGAGTGGAGGCTGTTATAGCAAAGGGGGGGGGGGACCAACTCGTATTAATGCCCATGATTTTGGAATGAGATGTTCGACGAGCAGGTGTCCACACACTTTTGGTCATGTAGTGTATGTATGTGAAAACCCCCTAAGTAATGTATCTGGGGACTGACCAGATCTGGTGATCTGGTGATCTGCTTCTTGTAAAATAAGATCATTCTTTCCCACATTAGACAACTGTTGAAGAATAGTCTTTAGTTTATTAAATTTGACCTTTTTAAAAGCAAGCACACAAACCTGAGAAAAGACATACATGTACGTGAGTAGAATCATGGAGGACAATAAAAGTCTGGGGCTTCTTTCCATTTGTCACGCCCTGACCTTGGAGATCCCTTTAATTCTCTAGTTGGTTAGGGTCAGGGTGTGATTCGGGTGTCCATTCTAGGTTTTCTATTTCTTTGTTGGCCCGGGTGTGGTTCCCAATCAGAGGCAGCTGTCGATCGTTGTCTCTGATTGGGGATCATACTTAGGCAGCCTTTTTCCCACCTTAGTTTACATTTTAGTCATTTAGCAGACGCTCTTATCCAGAGCGACTTACATTCTTTTTTTTTTTTTTCTCCATACCCCGCGTGGGAATCGAACCCACAACCCTGCCGTTGCAAACACCATGCTCTTTGTGGGATCTTGTTTCTGGTTAGTAGCTGTGTAGCATGCAGAACTTTACGTTAGTTTGTATTTTGTTGTTTTGAGAGTGTGTTCAGTTATTAAACTAATATGTTCTCATACCACGCTGCACCTTGGTCCGATCCTTTACTCAACGTTCGTGACACCGTTGTGGTCCTCTTGAAACAAGATGGCTGAACTGTAGACAGTATAGCAGTGAAAGATAAATCACAAAAATATATATATATGTCTTTCCTTTGTTTCTGGAGTACATCCCTCTAGAGATGTAGATGCTAGTCTTCTGTTAAATAAATAGAATTCACGTGTGACTTAATACATAGAAATCCAATACCTTTATTTTACATTCATACATCTATAAATTGTACAATAACTTGAACGCAGTAAAAAAAAAAAAAAAAAAAAAAGAATTTGCATGTTGTAAGGTTGGTGAAAATATTCTTTTTTTTTTTTTAATGACACGCACACCTGAAAGAAAAATAAAATAAAAAATAGGACTAGTGCTGTCCTTGAGTTGTACCTTTTATAAACAGAACTGGGCTGAATGGAAAGGAATTCAGTCGCCATAGAAAAGGCACCTTTAGTACACAGTGTATGTACAAACTTATATTTATTTTTATTTATTTTTGTCATTTAGCAGACGCTCTTATCCAAAGCGACTTACAGGAGCAATTAGGGTTAAGTGCCTTGCTCAAGGGCACGTCGACAGATTTTTTTACCTAGTCGGCTCGGGGATTAGAACCAGCGACCTTTCGGTTACTGGCACAACGCTCTTACCCACTAAGCTACCTTATACACCTTTTACTGTAGCTTCTAGTACAATGACAACTGGAAACCTTCACGTAACAAAAAAAAACTAATAATACAGGTCCATACAAATACATTTGAAGCAAAATATCTTCTTGGTCATACCAAAGCAGTACCTTGAAATGCATATTTTAACATTTAAATTCTAGATTGGCTCTGCCAGCAGAGGGCAACCCAGTGGATATAATTAGTTAATTACACAGTATGTCACAATATTTACGTATGCAGTTGCCCGCTTCATTGATTGTTAACTATTGGCGACAGTAGTGACGTACGTACACCTCATCATCATGCATCATTTTGCCTTCCTACAAGAGCAGCAGTCATTCTTAGGAGTTCAAAAACCAAACGTTTTTCCTTTCACATGAAAAAGGTCTACATGGTATAACATATAGATATAAAATCTATAGACAATTCAATATCTTATACAGCCAGGAGAAATACCATTTTACCTTAAAATATACTGTACCCCTCTTCAAAATCGAAACGTCAACGCTTTCAGAAAAGTTATTTGATATAAAATACCGTAATCCTTCACTGGATTTTTATGTTTACATTCCGTCCTAGCTTCCCCCCCCCCCCAATCAACAAAATAAAGCTTTTATATTCCTCTAAAGCGTAAAAACACTCCCAACTAAATTAAATATATAATGTTAATATATAGAAACAATAAAAGGGACTAAGATACCACAGGTGGTTCTACGTTCACATGTTAGAGGAAACCCGTTTAGAAAATGGCAATACACTGCCATGTTAAAGGATCATCATCTGATACAACACAGTGTGGCACTGCAATTTTGGATGATTGTACACGTTGGGGGGTCTTTCAATGCCATGGTCAAGATTGCTGCCCCCCCCCCCCCCTGTCTGTCTGTCTGCCTGCTACAGTTCAGCATGCCTTGGTCAGGTCGGTTGATCCATCTGCCTGATCCAGTTCAGCATGCCTTGGTCAGGTCGGTTGATCTATCTGCCTGATCCAGTTCAGCATGCCTTGGTCAGGTCGGTTGGCAGCTCTGTAGTGGACATGCGGTACTGGATCTTGGTGTTGGTAATCGCTCCGTGTTTCTGTCTAAGGTGCAATCGAAGCTGACTCTTGTGGCGAAAGTGCAAGTTGCATTTCTCACACTGAAAAATAAAAAGAAGGTCAGTTTTTTTTCCTCCGATCTTCCTGGTTTAACACCTCGATTTCAGTGTGTACATCAATGCCACACTGACTGATAGATCAAGTTGAATTGTGTAGTTTGTGTCCTTACATGATAGGGTGTGTATTATGGTGTTGTACTTCCATGATAGGGTGTGTATTATGGTGTTGTACTTACATGATAGGGTGTGTATTATGGTGTTGTACTTCCATGATAGGGTGTGTATTATGGTGTTGTACTTCCATGATAGGGTGTGTATTATGGTGTTGTACTTCCATGATAGGGTGTGTATTATGGTGTTGTACTTCCATGATAGGGTGTGTATTATGGTGTTGTACTTCCATGATAGGGTGTGTATGATGGTGTTGTACTTCCATGATAGGGTGTGTATTATGGTGTTGTACTTCCATGATAGGGTGTGTATTATGGTGTTGTACTTCATGATAGGGTGTGTATTATGGTGTTGTACTTCCATGATAGGGTGTGTATTATGGTGTTGTACTTCCATGATAGGGTGTGTATTATGGTGTTGTACTTCCCATGATAGGGTGTGTATTATGGTGTTGTACTTCCATGATAGGGGTGTATTATGGTGTTGTACTTCCATGATAGGGTGTGTATTATGGTGTTGTACTTACATGATAGGGTGTGTATCATGGGTTGTACTTCCATGATGGGTGTGTATATGGTGTTGTACTTCCATGATAGGGTGTGTATTATGGTGTTGTACTTCATGATAGGGTGTGTATTATGGTGTTGTACTTCCATGATAGGGTGTGTATTATGGTTTTGTACTTACATGATAGGGTTGTGTATATGGTGTTGTACTTCATGATAGGGTGTGTATTATGGTGTTGTACTTCCATGATAGGGGATGTGTATTATGGTGTTGTACTTCCATGATAGGGGTGTATTATGGGTGTTGTACTTCATGATAGGTGTGTTATGGTGTTGTACTTCCATGATAGGGTGTGTATTATGGTGTTGTACTTCCATGATAGGGTGTGTATATGGTGTTGTACTTCCATGATAGGGTGGTATTATGGTGTTGTACTTCATGATAGGGTGTGTATTATGGTGTTGTACTTCCATGATAGGGTGTGTATTATGGTGTTGTACTTCCATGATAGGGTGTGTATTATGGTGTTGTACTTCCATGATAGGGTGTGTATTATGGTGTTGTACTTCCATGATAGGGTGTGTATTATGGTGTTGTACTTCCATGATAGGGTGTGTATTATGGTGTTGTACTTCCATGATAGGGTGTGTATTATGGTGTTGTACTTCCATGATAGGGTGTGTATTATGGTGTTGTACTTCCATGATAGGGTGTGTATTATGGTGTTGTACTTCCATGATAGGGTGTGTATTATGGTGTTGTACTTCCATGATAGGGTGTGTATTATGGTGTTGTACTTCCATGATAGGGTGTGTATTATGGTGTTGTACTTCCATGATAGGGTGTGTATTATGGTGTTGTACTTCCATGATAGGGTGTGTATTATGGTGTTGTACTTCCATGATAGGGTGTGTATTATGGTGTTGTACTTCCATGATAGGGTGTGTATTATGGTGTTGTACTTCCATGATAGGGTGTGTATTATGGTGTTGTACTTCCATGATAGGGTGTGTATTATGGTGTTGTACTTCCATGATAGGGTGTGTATTATGGTGTTGTACTTCCATGATAGGGTGTGTATTATGGTGTTGTACTTCCATGATAGGGTGTGTATTATGGTGTTGTACTTACATGATAGGGCTTTTCTCCTGTGTGTATGCGCAGGTGACTCTTCAGCGTCTGCAGGTGACGGAAGCGAGTTCCACAGATCTCACACGGGTATGGCTTCTCCCCGGTGTGGATCAACACATGGGCACGGAGATGAGCAACCTGACGACGACAACAACTACGTGATGAGACTACTGGGTCAGTGTGGTGGTGAGTTGAATTTTACGAAGACTACAAAGAAGAAATGAGTGGGGAAGAAGGGATATGCAGCATAGCAGTGGTAGACCAGCCCTACTTGTTGAAAAGAGAGGAGCTCTGCTCACCTGCACAAATCGAGCACCGCACGTCTCACATTTGTATGGCTTTTCTCCTGAGTGGATGCGAGTATGGGTCTTGAGGTTAGCTGGTCGGTTGAACTGAGCACCGCAGATGTTGCAACGATACGGCTTCTCTCCTGCAACGCAAAAAATAAAATACAAAATACAGAGCAAACGGTTAGCTAGGTACCAAACTTAGTGGGCAGAGCAGTTAACGCGTGTTTGTTATTGCTTCTACGTACCCGTGTGGACGGTCTTGTGGCTGGCGAGGTTACCCTTGTAGCGGAAAGCGGCTTGGCAGCGGTCACACTTGTATGGCTTATCACTGTGGACCTGCAGCATGTGGCGCTTCAGGGCGCCGTCGTCAGCAAACTTGGAGTCGCATTCGTTACAAAAGAACGTACCATTTTCTGTAAGGAGAAGCATTAGGTCAACTAATGAATAAAATCAAGATTGGTGGTGCTTCAATCATTTTCAAGAAGGCCTCATGTATAAGCAACAAGCAGCTAAGCTTGCCTCTGTCCATGAGGTGGTCATGTCTGCCTCGCAAATGGCACCCTGTTCCCTATATACAGACCTGCTATCTTAATTTGATCATTGTTGTTGCAGAGTATTTTCCTATACTGCAGGAAATGCAAATTGTAGTGTATTCAATGTTTAAAAGGCTTCTAGAGTTTGTAATTTCCACTTTAAAAATGTGACTTGACCTAATGAAACATTTATCAACCCCTACAAAAATATCCAGTAATTATAATCCACATAATTCAGATTTCCTGTTGCTGCAGGATTATTTTCCTGCTGTGAGAACCAGGGTCATATTAAGACCGCGCATCTGTAGTGCACTACTTCCTTATATTCCCTATATAAGTAGTGCACTACTTCCTTATATTCCCTATATAAAGTAGTGCACTACACAGGGAATAGGGAGTCATTTGCGACTCATCCAGTGTTCAAAAGCAGCGTGTGCTCACCACAGCTGGAGTCGGAGTACTCAGAGTGCAGCTCTGCCATCTCCTCCGCTAAACGGGAGGCCGGGGTGTTGGGACACACTTCAGAGTGCTGCGGGGGAGGAGCGCCGCAGGAGGTGCACTTTAAGTGGCCGATGTAGAGAGAGGAGTGGCTGTCAGCGCTCCTCTGTGATCCATCCAGAGCTCTGGAGACACTAAAACAAACAGCTGCGTGTCAGACGGCATTCCTCCACAACAACAATTCAGATGCAAGAGGGGGGGGGGGGCAGAAAGAGGGGGGGGGTGGGCAGAAAGAGGGGGGGGGGGGGGGCAGAAAGAGGGGGGGGGGGTGGGCAGAAAGAGGGGGGGGGGGGTGGGCAGAAAGAGGGGGGGGGGGTGGGCAGAAAGAGGGGGGGGGGGGTGGGCAGAAAGAGGGGGGGGGGGTGGGCAGAAAGAGACGAGGCTACAGGTGGCAGTGGAAGGCAGTCATCTAGGGCCATGCCATCATGTTAGAAATTGCTTTATTAAAACTTGTGACGGTGGACAAAAAAAGTTGCAGCGATACTTTTGACGGCAAACAAAATTTAAAAGATAAAACAAAAGCATTTTAAAGTCCTAGACATCAAAATGGGAGCAATCAAGCATTTATGCTACAGTTATTCTACATGTATAGCTCAGTGTTTGATCCAGTACAACCGTAGGCCTTACCTGTTGATGATGTTGTTGAGTCGGGAGGCCTGTGGAGCCAGCAGATCCTCTACGTGCTCGCTGATCTTTGTGTTGGCCTGCGTGTCCAGGTGCTCTGGGTCGGAGTGGTGGGGGTAGGGGGGCAGGCCCAGGCGCTGGGGGGAGCGGAGCCGCGGCTCCTGCAGCCCAACGTCCTCCTCCTCCTTGGCGGCGCTCTGATTGAGCACGATGAACTTGTACTTCTTCCAGTTGCGTGCCTTGGGGTCCTGGCTTCCCTGTGGGGGCTGGGCACCACACCGGCCAGCCTGGGAGAGGGACAGACCAGCGTTCTTACTGCTGCTGGACTCGGTGGGGGAGTTGGGCTGGCAGTCAGATTTGAGCGGGCTCTGAGGGCTGCTCATCAGGCCTTTCCGTCCGGCTGAGGAGATCCCCAGAGGGTAGTGCTGCTGGCTCATGTCTTCCTCTGTAGTCTGAGGACCGTGCTCCTTACCCAGAACCACCACCTGCTGCTTGTGGCCCGCCGTGGCAAACGCTCTCTTCCTGGAGCCTCCCACCCCACCAGCCTGGCTGACCCCTCCCTCGTGGATCTCCTTCCTTATCTCCTCCTCCCTGGAGGAGACGTAGCTGGTTGCTGCCTCCCTGGAGGAGACGTAGCTGGTTGTATGGTGGATGCTGGCCGAGCCCCCGCTCAACGCCCGGCTGTACTCAACCCTCATGGCGCTGCTCGTGTCCGGGGGGGAACAGTGCTTGTGGTGGATCCCGTCTTTAGAGAAGTCAGAGAACGCGTTTTTGGTGTCTGTCAGCTTGCAGAGAGGGAAAGGGAACCCCTGGACAGGGAACTGGCCGTAGAGGTGGTAGTTGCTGGGGGAGTTGACTCCGTTGAACATGCTGGAGCCGTAGGGTCTCCCGTCTCTGAAGGGGCCGACCCGGCCGGGCAGGTTGTCGACCACATTGTGGGGCCGGTATGCATGGACGTCCTGAGGTAAAAGCAAGGGGCTGACCAAGAACTCATCTCTGGGCAGCTTGTTGGCCTGGCCAGGGTCACTGAGGAGGAAGGAAGAGTGAGACATGCTACATTCCTTCCCTGTCCACATAAATCCCACAAATGTATTTTGCTGCTGCGCTCGCCTCTTGACAGGTCCTCATTTGCAAATAGGAATATCTTCTTAAGTGACTGAGAAAGACAGACCAACGTAAGGGCCAGTGACCTTCCCATTGCCACGGACCACAGAACATCACCCGTAATATTGTATTCATTTCCCCGACACCCAGCAGCTGATCTTACTGGGTACTCCGTGTATATAGCGAAGTTATCGTTACTCATTGTGTATTTATTCCTCATGTTATTATCTTTCTATTATCTGCATTTCACTGTTAGTTGTTTACAAAGCATGTGAGAAATACATTTTTATTTGATTTTTAAGTTGAGTCTTCCCTCTTCCATTCCCTGTCCACATACCTGGATTTGAGGAATCTGTGGCAGGTGTCTACAACGTGGTCCATCTGTAGGTAGATGGCTGTGTTCATGATCGCCATGATCAGACTCTCCTTCAGCGTCAGTCTAGAGGTGTACATGAAGTCCAGTAGGATGGCGAACCCCTCCGGGTCTACCTTGGGGTCCAGGCTGATGGCATTCAGGTTACACTTCAGGGAGTCAGTAAATATAGTGTAGAACAACCCACTGGAGAGAGAGAGACAGAGAGAGAGGAAGCATCATGTTAAGTACAGTGACAAACTGGGGGGGGGAGACAGCGAGAGAGAGAGGGGAGAGAGGGCAGGGACAGAGCGAGAGCGAGGGGGACACGGGACAGAGAGAGAGAGCGAGGGGTACACGGGACAGAGACCGAGGGGAGAGAGAGGACACAGGAGAGAGGAGAGAGAGGGCACGGGACAGAGGAGAGAGAGGGAGGACACGGGACAGAACACAAACAGAGAGAGACAGAACACACAGAGAGGGGACAGGGGTACAGAGGCGGGGGACAGGGGTACAGAGGCGCGGGGCAGAGAGCGCGGGGACAGAGAGCGCGTGGACAGAGCGGGGACAAGAGAGAGCGGGGAACAGAGAGCGCGGGGACAGAGAGCGCGGGGACAGAGAGGCGGGACAAGAGAGCGGGGGACAGAGAGCGGGGGACAGAGAGCGCGGGGACAGAGAGCGTGGGGAAGGGGACAGAGAGCGAGGGGACAGAGAGCGCGGGGACAGAGAGCGCGGGGACAGAGAGCGCGGGGACAGAAGAGAGCGCGGGGACGAGAGAGCGCGGGACAGGGACAGAGAGCGCGGAGGGGGCGGGGACAACGAGAGGACCAGAGGAGCGCGGGGACAGAGGACAGAGAGAGCGCAGGGACAGAGAGCGGGGGGACAGGGGAAAGAGCGCGGGGACAGAGGACAGAGAGCGCGGGGACAGGGAGCGGGGGACAGGGGACAGAGAGCGCGGGGACAGGGGACGCAGGGGAACAGAGAGGGGGAGGAGAGGGGGACAGAGAGCGCGGGGACAGAGCGCGGGGGACAGGGAGCGCGGGGACAGAGAGCGCGGGGACAGGGGACAGAGAGCGTGGGGACAGGGGACAGAGAGTGCGGGGACAGAGAGCGCGGGGACAGGGGACAGGGAGCGCGGGGACAGGGAGCGCGGGGACAGGGAGCGCGGGGACAGGGGACAGAGAGCGCGGGGACAGAGGACAGAGAGCGCGGGGACAGAGAGCGCGGGGACAGGGGACAGAGCGATGGGGGCAGAGGACAGAGAGCGGGCAGGGGGACAGAGGACAGAGAGCGCGGGGACAGGGAGCGCGGGGACAGGGGACAGAGAGCGCGGGGGGGGGACAGGAGGACAGAGAGCGCGGGGGGGCAAGGGACAGAGAGAGCGCGGGGACAGGGACAGAGGAGCGCGGGGGGGACAGGGGACAGAGAGCGCGGGGACAGGGACAGAGAGCGCGGGGACAGGGACAGAGAGCGCGGGGACAGGGACAGAGAGCGCGGGGACAGGGACAGAGAGCGCGGGGACAGGGACAGAGAGCGCGGGGACAGGGCAGAAACGAACACACACCACAGAGAGGAGAAGGACAGAACCAAGACGCGGGGACAGGGGACAGAGGAGCGCGAGGCGGACATGGGAGACAGAGACAGAGGGGGCATCAAGTTATGTATAGAACAGTAACAAACTAACAGCAATGTGCCAAATCACTTGTGGGGACAGAGAGAGGGGAGAGGGACTTTAAGTATCAACAGCAACATGCAAACTTTGCTCAAAGCGGGACAGAGTCTGCATCCCAAATGCCACACTATCCCCTATGTAACAGGTTGGTTATGTTTCCACTTGCCACTGCAGAAATGTGTCACCCAGTAAAATACTACTTCAGCAAAAGTATTTGGTTTTAAATATATTTAAGTCTCAAAGGAAATGTAATTACTAAAATACTTAAGTATCAAAAGTAAAAGTATAAGTCATTTCAAATTCCTTATAATAAGCAAACCAGACGGCACCATTTTCTTATTTTATTTATTTACTGATAGCGAGGGGAACACTCCAACATCATTTACAAACGAAGCATGTGTTTAGTGAGTCCACCAGATCAGAGGCAGTAGGGATGACCAGGGATGTTCTCTTGATACGTGTGTGAATTGGACCATTTTCCTGTCCTGCTAAGCATTCAGAATGTAACCAGTACTTTATACTCCATACATTTTCCCTGTCACCCAAAAGTTCATTATTTTCTTTAGGAATGTAGTGAAGTAAAAGTAGTCAAATATAAACAGTAGAGTAAAGATACACCCAAAAAAAATACACTGAACAAAAATACTAACGCAACATGTAGTGTTGGTCCCATGTTTCATGAGCTTTAATAAAAGATCCCAGAAATATTCCATACGCACAAAAAGCTTCTCTGAAATGTTGTGCACAAATTTGTTTACATCCCTGTTAGTGAGCATTTCTCATTTGCCAAGATAATCCATCCACCTGACAGGTGTGGCATATCAAGAAGCTGATTAAACAGCATGATCATTACACATGTGCACCTTGTGCTGGGGACAAAAGGCCACTAAAATGTGCAGTTTTGTCACACAACACAATGCCACAGATGTCTCAAGTTGAGGGAGCGTGCAACTGGCATGCTGACTGTAGGAATGTCCACCAGAGATGTTGCCTGAGAATTTAATGTTCATTTCTCTACCATAAGGTCGCCTCCAACGTCATTTTGGAGAATTTGGCAGTACGTCCAACCGGCCTCACAACCGCAGACCACGTGTATGGCGTTGTGTGGGCGAGCGGTTTGCTGATGTCAAAGTTGTGAACATAGTGCCCCATGGTGGCGGTGGGGTTATGGTATAGGCAGGCATAAGCTATGGACAACGAACACAATTGCATTTTATCGATGGTAATTTGAATGCACAGAGATGCAGTGACGAGATCCTGAGGCACATTGTCTTGTCATTCATCCGCCGCCATCACCTCATATTTCAGCATGATAATGCACGGCCCCATGTCACAAGGATCTGTACACAATTGCTGGAAGATTAAAATGTACCAGTTCTTCCATGGCCTGCATTCTCACCAGACATGTCACCTATTGAGCATGTTTGGGATGCTCTGGAGCGACGTGTAAGACAGCTTGTTCCAGTTCCCACCAATATCCAGCAACTTTGCACAGCCATTGAAGAGGAGTGGGACAACATTCCACACGCCACAATCAACAGCCTGATCAACACCATGCAAAGGAGATGTGTCGCGCTGCAAGAGGCAAATGGTGTTCACACCAGATACTGACTGGTTTTCTGATCCACACCCCCTACCTTTTCTTTAAGGTATCTGTGACCAACAGATGCATATCTGTATTCCCAGTCATGTGAAATCCATAGATTAGAGCCTAATGAATTTATTTCAATTGACTGATTTCCTCATATGAACTGTAATGCAGTAAAACCTTTGAAATTATTGCATTTCTATCTTTTTAGTATACTTAAGTAGTACTTTACACCTGGGAATCAGGAATCTACAGCTATCAACACAAATCAACTGGGATCACTGGCTGGACGGTCCTTTAAAAAAAATACGACGCAAGAGAGTTACGAAGTACGATCACATCTGTTACAGGCGCCGAGACCCGTCTTGTCTTCGTGGGACATCGGTTACAGAGACCCCTATGGGATCTGGTCAAAAGTAGTGCACTATGTAGGGAATAGGGTGCAGTTTGGGGACACTCCCTAAGAGTCAAGTGAACACAACACACCTGCAGGCCATGAGGACAGTCTTGTGGGCACGGAACTGCTGTCTGTTGACCAGGATGGTGACGTCCGTGAGAATGTCCCGGCTACGCAGCCGGTTGAGGTTCAGCAGCACGTCGCTGGCGTGACGCGTGAACTGGATGCAGCTGTCTGCTGCGCAAGCCATCTTGTCAAGTTCTGGGAAAATAAAAATGTAAAACAAATTCTTCTAGTCAGAGCCATGGATATACATACAATAGGGTTATATACAGCTCCGATACTGGTCATTCATCAAATCAAATAAGTAGTATCTTGGCGGTGAAACCCAGTGGAATATGGCCCAAACTGCAGGTCTCTCCAACCATGTTCCGGGAAACTACCCTCACGTAGGTTTTTACACCAACCCTAGTTGTAACTAACCCGATTCAGCTTATCAACCAGCTAATTATTAGAATCAGGTGCGCTAGGTTAGGGTTGGAGCAAAAACCTACAGGAGGGTATCTCTCCAGGAACAGGGTTGTAAACCTACACGAGGCTCTCCAGGAACAGGGTTGAATGACATTAAAATGTTGTGATATACAAGATAAAGGACAGCATCTTGTATGAAAGCTGGGGTTATTTTGGCATTTGTCACTTTTTTTTTTTATGTGTTGGTTATTCTAATAATAAAAAATGCTCACCACCTCACCATATATTCTCTGATTGCAGTGGAACTTTTCAGCCAGTAGGTGGCAGCATTCAACAGAATAAAGAAACTATGGCGCTTTCAAGTCACATTTTCTGGGCAGCCCCACTTGTTCCGCAAGTGGGATAACGCCTGATTTCGTTTATTATTGGCACTCAAACATGAACGTAGAGGATGAAGGATATATTTTTGCCTGAACCCAAGCATTCTGCAGTCACAAACTGGTTCTGTATGGCGTATGGGTTCTGTGGCAGTAGGCTAGCCTACATTATGTAATGTCACATAGTCATGGAAACAGTGTGGGAACAGTTCATGATATAGTTGAGAAATGCAAACACCAGGTGTAGGAGTCTTCTTCCCTACAGGACAGTAGCCTACACCCCGTGCATCACAACGCACCCGACTTTGACACACAGGCTGTGACAAATTATAAGGGGGCGTGTCCAGCCTGGACTCAGGGTCAGACATAACATAGTAAAAGGTAAATCCGAGCCACAGTCCAAATAGTAGGATATGTTACGTTTCGAAACGTGTGTGTTAGTTGACGGCCATCATTTTGTACAATATGTTACAAATTGCAATTTGTTGTGGCTAACGTTAGCTAGGTGGCTAACATTAGCTGGGCTGTGGGTTATGGTTAAGGGAAGGGTTAGCTATCGTGCTAAGTAGTTGCAAAGTAGCAAGTAGTTGGCTAATTAGCTAAAATTGTAGGCGAGGACCTTCAAACCCGCAACCTTTGGGTTTCTAGATGTTTTTGTTATATGCCCACCCAACCACCCATATGTAACCTTCTGTTTTATGGAACCATAAACTAATTTGCGGGTCCTGGCTTTACGTTTACCATGTTACATCTAGACTATGAAACCAGGCTGGCGGGTCTTTAAATAATATCATGTCTATGTCATCTCGGCATTTCTTACAAGTTGAACATTCCGTATCGGACTCGAACTTGATTCTTTCTTCCCCCTTCTGAACCAACACGTTCCCCCGTTATGTCGTTAATAAACAACCAGTAGGCTACCGCTAGCCTATTTCTTATTCACACGTCATTTGTGATGGAGAAAACAGTTTGAGCATAGTCCAGACAAAAGTTGGGAGATTTAAACGTACTGTTTGTTGACTGCCAAATAAAATGGCTACAAGGTGAATGCACCAATTTGTAAGTCGCCCTGGATAAGAGCGTCTGCTAAATGACGTAAATGTATGAATGATTATAGTATAGTAGTAATAATAATAATAAAATAAAAAACCCAGTTTACATTTTTCATGCAATTAAAGGTAGATTAAAAGACAAGTTGCTCCATGAACTTTAAAATATGATGCTTTAAATTCTACCACAAGATGTCATCAATTTACTGTAGAAGTGTATACGTCTGATCATTAATATATTACCCTAGAAGTTTGTCTGATCTTCCGCAATATAAATAGCGGGGTAGTCAAACGCAGGAGAACACGTTATGGCAATAACACAACTTTCAATTTGCACCGCAATCCAGAAGACTTCAGCATATTTTGAGAACACTTTTGGCATAGCTCATGTTTAAACTACAGTCTGCGAATTTCAAACGGATAATTTACTACTAGCCTCATTCCTTCCGTCCAACCCCATGTAATAAATTGTTAAACTGACAGTTTCTTCACGTGGAACAACATGTGGAGCCAACCCGTTCAATAACACGCAAACACATTGGACACAGATGTATCACTCTCTGCCACAACCCCAAGTCTCAGGCTGCCACTTGACACCTCCCGAAATGAACTTGAAATAAAAGAATGTATACACCGGTTGAAGTAACCACGGTTTTCAACGGTTAACATATATATAGGCTATAACCCACCTACGGCTACCGCTTTAGTGACACACGTCATATTTGACAAATGTAATTATTTTCAGTTATTAACTTTTCGATCACATTCACAGTAAATTTGGCTCTTATTCATAGTCTTAGCCTACACTTCAACTATACGTTATTATTATTATTATTTTTTTAAATCAGACTCCTTGCATTGAAGCTTTAGCAATCAAATACATTATATTACTGCAACATTGTATCTTCTAAGCTCTCAATTACTGCAACATTGTAGCTGTTAATCACGGAAATTCAATGCGACATTGTATCCGTTGGAGTCATTCTGCCTAAAGTCACCCTCCCCTGGCCCCAGACAGATCGCATGCAGGTATAAACGTGCACATACGGTAGGCTGTGCAGCAGCGGCACGCTACAAACCAAAAACAACAATATTTCCGGGGGGGGGGGGGGGGGGGAGTTGGGGTGATAACGGCGAGACAAGACAATCAATATCTCGATTTGATTATTTTTCTCCGAGACTGTCTGGATATCTAAAACAATGTAGCATAACACCCTTGACACACATACCCCTGGCTAACTGCCAAAAGCCCCAACACACTGTGCAAGTTAGGCTATTTAGTTATTGTCGGTGGGAATCACGTTATAATGTACATGTACACCGCTGTTATCAATACAAGGACACGGTTGCAAAATCCAGCCAGGTTAGAGCTATACTTAGGGTTTGCTAAGAATATAGAAGGCTTTAGTCAAACTGAACTCCTGGTTTATTATTAGTATTCCAGCACACTAGTCACGTCTAACAGAATAAACCACAGTACATTAAAAAAAAAGCCTCTACTGTCAAACCGACACAAGGCGAACCGAGAGCCGTAGAGCGTGAAGTGAAGACAGCGGAATATTATACAGGCAGAAGATGTCAAGAGGAGCTGGCACCCGCCAAAGAGTGCGCTCAAAACCGTCCACCTTACACCTTTAAAATCACCTAGGTTTACATGATTAAAAACACATTCACAAACACACCAACATCTGTAATGAAGAGCCAAACTTCGCGCCAAATTACATAAGGAAAAAAGGAATTTAAAAAATCACCTGGTATTGCTTTCCTAGAAACTTCTTGCATGACCACTTCTAAGAACCCCCAGTTCTAAGAATCACAAGAGCTCAATTCTCGGAATTTGAGCTTGTGATGATACCACTTTCCGAGGGCAGGGGAGAGTCAGCTTTTAATGCTAGCTGAGAAATCTACTTTCTGAGATGTTTATTTTCGTGCATATTGCACAATATAAATTATAGAACAAGTGTAATACAAATGTAAAGTGAAATTATGTACAAATTGTAATATTTTTGTATATATTTGAAGAGAAATCGAGTGTTGAGTTTTTTTATTCCCCCTACTTTTGGATTCTACCAGACCTAGATGGTCACATGGGTAGAGGAGTTACCTACGTCACCCATGCCGCTAAACCAGCCCCTAAATTCTCAGAACTAATTTGCTATTCTATGACATAAGCGGTGTCCGTCCATTCGTTGCCTGTGTGAAACACACAGACATCATTTACACAGAACCTAACTGGACTGTTTAGTCACACGGACACGCCTATTTGTTGTGATATTATTTTTGTTTTTTTGCTTCTCCTGCGGGAGAATATTCCTTTTTTTAAACCCCCAGTTCTACCTTCATTGCTGTGGACTGTCTGCTGGCAAATCATCACAAGGGTTTGTTTGGGATGAGATTATATTTGTGAACCAAAAACATTGTGTTTGAAAACTCTCTTCATCACTGGGATTTTCCGTTGCTGTAGCCTTTTTGTTGCCTTTGAGGCTGACTGTTATACCAGCTGTATCTGAGAATATGCTTTAGGTATGCTTTAGAGTTAGGTTATAACGGAAGGTTGACGTTTATTGTCATGAATCTTGCCCTGGATGCAGAACACCAGCGATTTCCGCTAGATGGGCCAGCTGCAAAGTCAAAATGGTCTATATCGTAAAAATGTATGAAAACAAACAGACATTTGCTTTTTGATCTTTTTTTAAGGGTTAGGCATTAGTGTTAGCAGTGTGGTTATGGTTAAGGTTAGATTTAAAATCCGATGTTATGACTTTGTGGCTTTGCCAGCTAGTGACCATTCTGCAGAACTGCCTCCAGGGCAAGATTCATGACAATACATTCCAACCTGCCTTATTGCGGTCAGATTGACCATAACCTGTACAGGCTAACAACCGGTTAATGCTATACAGTGTATCTATCCTATATAATCGCCACCGTCCGCTGCTATGCAACGCATTAACTATATGCGCTCTCGCTCTGACGTGCGACAGCAGTCAATGTTGGGCGATATAGCCTACAGCAGCAAACTTCCCAAAATTAAATTGGGTAAAGTGTAATCTAATCAAAAATGGTCAACGTGCGAATGAAAAACCCTAGGCATAGTGTTGGAATAAAATTACTATTTATAAGGCATTCTTAAATGCCACACAAACTTATTCTACCGACAAGTAAGTCGCTCTTGATAAGAGCGTCTGCTAAATGACCTAAATGTAAATGCGCTTTATGACTTGTAGGCTATTAGCCTTACAATCAATCAAGACCAATAGGCTAAATTAGGATATACATTTAAAAAGCACGAATGGGCCTAATACACACAGACGGACACTCCTTCTACCTACAGCATAACCCCCCACAGCGCTAAACGTTATTGACTGCATTTAGATTTATTGACCCTATTATTCTAATAGACAAACATTTTAATGGCCATCATTGTTAGTTAGAGCCGATTGTTAATCTGAACAATTAGCATAGTGTTTGAAGTGTATGGAAACCACTCGGGTCGTTGAGTCAAAGCCAAGGCCAACCCTGAATGACAAACCCCTTAATGACATGAACTCTAGCGCTCCTAAATAAATAAGTGCAACGTAGGCCTAAACTGAAGGTCCATTTAGTTTACATTTTAGTCATTTAGCAGACGCTCTTATCCAGAGCGACTTACAGTTAGTGAATACATATTTTTTTTATACTGGCCCCCCGTGGGAATCGAACCCACAACCCTGCCGTTGCAAACGCCATGCTTTATCAACTGAGCTACATCCCTGCCGGCCATTCCCTCCCGTACCCTGGGCCAATTGTGCGCCGCCCATGAGTCTCCCGGTCGCGGCCGGCTGCGACAGAGCCTGGATTCGAACCAGGATCTCTAGTGGCACAGTTAGCATTGCGATGCAGTGCCTTAGACCACTGCGCCACTCAGGAGACGAACCCCTTAATGACATGAACTCTAGCGCTCCTAAATAAATAAGTGCAACGGAGGCCTATGCAATGCACTCTCACAAGGCGAAATATAGTCCTTTCTAATCGTGAAATGTAAATAGGCCTACTTTTCAAAATTCAATTTAGATGTGGATCTAACACTGGAAATATTTTACGGTTGATCTGAAGTTATAGGCCTGACGCTTCCCAATGGATGGAGAATCATCAATGCGTCGACCAGCCATGCGGTCACCTGTGTGATGAATTATAGCCTGAACATGTCGAACAGACAGTAACCCCAAAATTATATCAAGTGCGCAACGTGTGTCAAGTGGATATTGGAATTCAATGCGCCTGGCTCAATTCTGCCTATCGAAATAAGATTAGCTTTTGTTGAATAGACTTGCAGCTTTCAAATACAGATCACACTTTGTGACATTAGGCTACTGCGTGATGGTGCGTTATAGTAAACCTTATGCATCACCTTTATATTTTAATTCCCATGTGAAGTTAAGCCTCTCAGCTCATTTGCTTTATGGTATTAAAATCTAACTTATCTTTTATATAAAAACATGTGTCTTTATTTTTTGTTGTTGTCATTTAGCAGACGCTCTTATCCAGAGCGACTTACAAATCGACAGATTTTTCACCTAGTCGGCTCGGGGATTAGAACCAGCGACCTTTCGGCTACTGGCAGCTCTTAACCACTAAGCTACCTGCCGCTGTCTTTAAAGTCTATTTTAGGCGACTTTGTATTATTTGTTAATTATCTGTTTACAAATAAGCATAATAACCACGCAATGTCCATCAATCAATCATTTTTATTTTATAAAGTCCTTTTTACATCAGTAGTTGTCACAAAGTGCTTTAGTAACCTGGTGCTTTATAATAACTTTGCATAAAGGGCGTTCCTCGCATTTCCTTGGTAACGGCCTTGTAGCTCAGTTGGTAGAGCATGGCGCTTGCAACGCCAGAGTTGTGGGTTCGATTTCCACGGGGGGCCAGTATGAAAAATGTATGCACTCACTAACTGTAAGTCGCTCTGGAGGATCATTTAAACCTGCCAGTGACCAGTCTGTGTCTGTCTGACTGAGCAAATAGAGGGTGCCTCATTTTCTCAGCTTTTAAACTTAACCCATCCACTTTATCGTGTAATTGATGTTGGATTAAAACGTTTATTTTAAGAAAGTAATTTTAAAAAATAATAATGAAAATGAATGCCAATGTATGGAGGGCAATTTCAGTGTATTATTTCAGTGGGCTATTGAATCCCTTTCATATATCATCCTTTTATGTTGCTCTACTCTCTTTGAATTGGAAAAAAAAACAAAACAACAACATTAAAATACTTTATAACTTTATAAACGTGGTCCCTGTGGTCCTTTTCTCCAGCCTGGCTCTCAAGTGTCTAAACTGAGTGACAGCTCGTGTGTCTTCCTCATTTTCCACATGACAATATTTATAGCCTGTACTTTATTTTCTGTAAGTGAACACAATACCTTTGTGAAGTGGAGCTGGTATTGGGGCAGCAGCCCTCAATATCGTCTGTAATGCTACACTACTACTGGATTTACTAGCATGTCCCATCTCTGGCTACAGCTGAATAATATCCTTCCCAACTTGGACTCTATACTGACCTCTGCCCTTTAAGGTGGAACTGAAGAGGAGACGAAAGCTGCACCCTATTCCTAAATCTATTCCTTCAGGGCTCTGGTCAAACGTAGCGCACTATATAGGGAATAGGGTGCCATTTGGGATACGGACCCGAGTGTTGAGGCTGTGATCACTGAGGACGTGACCCCATGTTGCAGCCTACGTAGTCTCTTCTCTGGTTTCAATATGAAGTGTCTTGTTTACTATAAGACAGCGAGCGTGGTGGTATGATTAGTCTGGTCCCAGATCTGTTTGTGCTATCATGTCAACTCCTTTAGCCTGGTCCCAGATCTGTTTGTGCTATCATGTCAACTCCTTTAGCCTGGTCCCAGATCTGTTTGTGCTATCATGTCAACTCCTTTAGCCTGGTCCCAGATCTGTTTGTGCTATCATGTCAACTCCTTTAGCCTGGTCCCAGATCTGTTTGTGCTATCATGTCAACTCCTTTAGCCTGGTCCCAGATCTGTTTGTGCTATCATGTCAACTCCTTTAGCCTGGTCCCAGATCTGTTTGTGCTATCATGTCAACTCCTTTAGCCTGGTCCCAGATCTGTTTGTGCTATCATGTCAACTCCTTTAGCCTGGTCCCAGATCTGTTTGTGCTATCATGTCAACTCCTTTAGCCTGGTCCCAGATCTGTTTGTGCTATCATGTCAACTCCTTGGCGTAACAATGAGTGAACAAACAGATCTGGGACCAGGCTACGGTATGACTAGGCCCTAGCCCACCTGGGTAGCTGTGGTTGTGGTGGCTCCACATTGTGGACTGTCCTGCCTCTTCTCGCACCCGGTTCACTCCCTGGCATAGGAGGAGCATCTGCTGGGCTGGGGAGACAAGGTGAAAACATCTGTAAACATCTGGAATCAGATTCATCTCCAAACAAATTGTATGTTTTGCATGGGCTACGAAGGGCAGGATGAATGTTGTTTTTAAATCTAAGACTCCATTATTAAGCTTTTGGTCTGTGTTCATAATAGAGGCAAAGCTTAAAGGGGCAATCTGCAGTTGCTTCATCCATTTTTTGACTTTTGAATTAATGAAATGTATCCATTGATTCTTGAAGAACATAACTTATAAATGCCTCATGAGCTTAGTTCCACTGTGGTTCCCCATCAGAACCCAAAATATGAGCTTGTTTTACTCCCAATGTTTGTAAACAATGTAAATGTAAACAAACACTGTATAGCTTCAAAACATGGTTAAAACTATAACGTTGATATCATGGATGGTCGGTCATGCATCCATAGCGCTGCCTATGAATTTGAGAGTGGTGACATTTCTCCAGCCTCATCCCTCAAATGTTTTTTAATGACAATGGTAAGGGACTAGGGCAGGATGGAACCATGAGAAGGACCATGCCCTGAAGAAAAGCTCCCCCCTTCCCCCTAAGCCCCTCTTCCGCCTGAGCCCCACTTCTCCCTAAGCCCCCCTTTCCCCCGCCAAAAAAACAAAGACATTTTTGATACTTTCTCTTTGTAACAAGTGGGCACAATGAGGTAAAAGGAAACAGTGAAGACAGGAAAAGAGTTGTTCTATAAATAGTCTGCTCTATTCTCTGCTCAGACTCTTCTGTGTGGGCTTATTGTGTTGAGATAGAGCAGAGTTGATACAGGAGCCAGAGAGGTTATAACCTTCACTTATAACTGATCAGGACCTTTATATCCGTGGCTAAGTACTGTACATACACAATCAACCTAGTCTGCCTATATTACAAGATACAGTGGGGGAAAAAAAGTATTTAGTCAGCCACCAGTTGTGCAAGTTCTCCCACTTAAAAAGATGAGAGAGGTCAACTACGTCAACTATGACAGACAAATTGAGAATTTTTTTCTCCAGAAAATCACATTGTAGGATTTTTTATGAATTTATTTGCAAATTATGGTGGAAAATAAGTATTGTGGTGGCTGACTAAATACTTTTTTCCCCCACTGTACATGTGTTAGTTATTGCCACTCATCACTTGCCAGGTTGTCATAAAAATAAGAGTTCGCTTTTAACTGACTTTCCTAGGTTAAATAAATGTTATGAAATAAAAGCCATGACGACGAGGTTGACCTGTCCTGTAAATAGTCATTACACAACATGCAAAATCTCTGAAGTTGTGTAGAGTGTGTGGAGCTAACTGATTTCAATTCCACACTGTTAGGAAGTCAAAGACATCCATATTTCTCAAGCCAGATGAATGACTCCCTAGATTACACAGATTATACAGATTGGACACAACCTTCAATGGACATCATCTCACATCCTGGCAAAAGATTGAAACTTAAATTAGACTTGGAGCGGCAAGTGAATCAAGTGGTGGTTTTGGGTGGTGATTATATTGGTAATGCTGCACTTTTTCACTTTCATTTTATTGAAAGAGATAGTGTTTTCTCAACCTTTGTGTGATTCCATGTTCCCCGTCATAACGTTGAAATACCTTTCCCTGTGGAGCGCTTCTCATGCATCCATCCGCCTATCTGTATCCGGGCGTGGCGCCGCGGTGTCCCACTAAAATCACCCCAGGTGTTCCCAATCCAACGGGGAGAAAACCAACCACTCCAAAATAATTAAGGCCCAACACTCTCTTTACAACAATCTCAGATTCAGCACTGCCAAAGAAAGACTCTTCTATGTCTGTGCTCCAAACAAAGAGCAGCGTCAACTTTATTCCAATCCACTGGGGGGATGTTTAAGGCGCTCCCTCCAACACAGGACTGATGCATTATGCACAGCCACAAAGCATCCAGGAGCTGGGAATGAAAAAAAGAGCAGATCATTTACCCAGCCCACCTGCTGGGCACAGTGATACAGGCATGGAGATAATTACTGCAAAACCTTGGCAAACTTTTACTCAACCATTTTTACACTAAAATAAATGACCCACTTAGATAAGATGGAGATGAAGATGGAGGAAGATGACGAGGGGGTCTGATCAATACCTATAGCTAGCTACCCCTCTCCCTCTCTCTCTCTCGCTACTCTATAAACTGAGTGAGTAGAAGCACCTCCTTGTCCTTCCCACCTCAACCTCCTTGTCCTCCCACCTCAACCTCCTTGTCCTTCCCACCTCAACCTCCTTGTCCTTCCCACCTCAACCTCCTTGTCCTTCCCACCTCAACCTCCTTGTCCTTCCCACCTCAACCTCCTTGTCCTTCCCACCTCAACCTCCTTGTCCTTCCCACCTCAACCTCCACCTCCTACCTAAATAAAGATAATGACAATGATAATGTAAGAAACATTTGGAGTCTCATTGATGCCTATATTGATTCAAGTGGACACGGCCCAGCGATACTACAGGCCTATTCCTGCACATGTTGTACAAACCCCTTCTGTCTCGTCCCAAAACAGCGTGAAGCTATCTCTGCTAGCTTAGGATGTTGTGAAGATGTGTGATGATGGGATAGCGGAGGAGGTCATTAGAGAGCGATGCCCACTGTCGACAGCCGGGGGGGGCTCGGAGGTTGCCTCACACACACTTTTACATAAACTGCATACTTTGTTCTCGTTTTCACAGCACATTTCTGCCAACTTCAGTGTTCATTGTCAGCAAAGATGCGAGTGGAGTTTGGGGAGAGCTGTTCTGTGAGGCTGGCATGATGCAACCAGGCTGCAACAGCACCAACCACCCAGTGGTTGTATCCTAAATGGCACTCTATTGCCTTTATAGGGGGGCGGCAGGGTCGCTTAGTGGGTACGAGCGTTGTGCCAGTAACCGAACGGTCGCTGGTTCTAATCCCCGAGCCGACTAGGTGAAAAATCTGTCGATGTGCCCTTAGGCAAGGCACTTAACCCTAATTGCTCCTTTAAGTCGCTCTGGATACGAGCGTCTGCTATGTGACTAAAATGTAAAACATGTAAATAGGGCCCTGGTCAAAAGTAGTGCACTATTTAGGGAACAGGGTGCTGTTTGGGACACAACCGATGTCTTTCTCAGTTCCTCCCTCACTTAAAAATAAATATATATATATATATATATATATATATATATATATATATATATATATGTTGTTAATAAGTATTTCAGGATGTTTCTCGTTGGATCCCTGAAGGATTGTCATGTGGACAGCGGTTCTTTAACTCAATTCATAACTATGAAGTTGTTAATCCTTAAGAGTCAAATGATTTGATGAAAACATTGAATTTGGCCTTGCTGCTATTAGCCCATAGATTGGATCGGGATGTTCAGATTCATAGCTACACTCTTAGAAAAAAAGGTGCTATCTAGAACCTTATAGGGTTCTTCGGCTGTCCCCATAGGAGAACCCTTTGAAGAACCCTTTTTGGTTCCAGATAGAACTCTTTTGGGTTCCATGTAGAACCCTTTCCATAGAGGGTTCTACATGGAACCCAAAAGGGTTCTACCTGGAACCAAAAAGGGTTATATCCAATGGGGATAGCCGAAGAACCCTTTAAGGTTCTAGACAGCACCCTTTTTTCTGAGTTAAATTATTTAATTTGTGTGTTTTTTTTGTAAAACATTTTTTTACCTTTATTTAACCAGGTAAGCCAGTTGAGAACAAGTTCTAATTTCTCATGTGTAACACATGGAACTGTTTTAAGATGGTCAGACGGAAGTTGGCAGATCGGCGGTACCGACTTCAGATGAGTCCCGTGGGGGGTCGTAGAGCCAAGCCGTTCGGACACAACAGACGTTTTCGTGAGAAGACCGATTTTCATGATGTCTCATGGTCTGACAGCCACTGCTGCAGCTTGGCCACCTTCCACCGCAGATGCAGAAGGCTGCCATTGGCGGATGCGGTGGATTGAGACGCATCCAATGCAAAAAAAACAACAGATTTCTCTAGCTTTGATCCTTTGATTATGCTAATTAGATTTCCGCGGGGCAGCGGACATCGACTCTAGGGGTATTAAGCCGCCCTCGTCAAGTGAGTTTGTGGCGTAGTGTAGCTGCATGCATGTGTGTGTGTATGGTTGGTTGTCATTCTATTGTTCATGTAGAACGCAGATTACTTGATGTTCTACTGTGACCATCTAGGTGTTGTTGTGATCTCTTTGTAAGAAATGACACTAGAAAGGGTAATTTTCATCAAGAGAAATTGTGACTTTTGCTTCAGCTGGCCCAAAATATTTTTTATGGCAGTCAAAGAAGTTTAAAAGTATATCTTAAAAACAGTTTGTGATGTTCTGCTTTGTTCATTGTGAACATGGTGTTTTGTTGTATAGCGTGTGTGTGTGTGTGTGTGTGTATTCTGTATGTGTGTGTGTGTGTGTTTGTATGAAAATGGTGGAAAGGAAAGATGTGTGAGAGTCTAGCCTGCCTGTCCCTGGCTGGATGTCCCTGGCTGCCTGTCCCTGGCTGGTTGTCCCTGGCTGGTTGTCCCTGGCTGGATGTCCCTGGCTGGATGTCCCTGGCTGGATGTCCCTGGCTGCCTGTCCCTGGCTGCCTGTCCCTGGCTGGATGTCCCTGGCTGGATGTCCCTGGCTGCCTGTCCCTGGCTGGATGGCCCTGGCTGGATGTCCCTGGCTGGATGTCCCTGGCTGGATGTCCCTGGCTGGATGGCCCTGGCTGGATGTCCCTGGCTGGATGTCCCTGGCTGGATGTCCCTGGCTGGATGTCCCTGGCTGGATGTCCCTGGCTGGATGTCCCTGGCTGGATGTCCCTGGCTGCATCTCAAATGGAACTACAGAGGGCACTGGTCAAAAGTAATGCACTATACAGGGAACAGGGTGCCGTTTGATACAGGCAATCACTGTCTGTTGCCAGATGAAGCTGCAGTCTCAGAGTTTGACTGACTGCTGAGGTTGACTCTGACCTCTGACCCCTCACTTGAACCCCTGCACAACATCAGGGCCCAGGATGCACTGCAAAAGGCCAAAGGTCATGTTTACAACTTGCCCTGCTTTTCTTTTTTTCTCTAAGAAGGAAT